TTGTCGGTGATTGGGTGGAACTGTTTGTCATGTTTCGTGGAGCGGGTTAGCCCAGTTTGTTTTTGTTGCTGTTTGTGGAGCCTGGGCTGTCTACAGAGATCGCGTTTCTTTACAGTGTGTTCAGGGGAGAGGCAGCCAGCGGTTAGTGAGGAGATGTTTGCTGTATGTGACAAAAAATGTTTTGGCCTAAAAAACGCGTGACATCGCTTAGAGCACCTTTAAGCTAGTCCCAGACTAAAATGCATGTTTGAAAGCAACTTGCACTGACTTACAATTTGTCAGTGCCATTGTTTTGTCTCAAGATGCACACCAGTAATGTTTTTTGTCTAAGGCACGTTTATAAAAACACTTAAATGTCCTATTTGAACTAAGGACTAATCCTGGCCTGTTTGTGAAACAAAAAGTGCTTTATAACAGAAGAAATTTAAGAAAAAATAAATTGGCCATTCAACTTATTCTCTCGAAACAAAATTAAGATTGAAAGGAGCCCTCTAGCTTGTCCTTTTTATTCAATTACATGAATACCAGTCTAATTCTAATTCAGTGAACAATCTACATCAGTTAGTCTTAAATATACAAATGGCAACATCAGAGTTAATCACACCACTCGTTCATGTAAATGAATGTGAACTGTATCTAATAAGATCTCTCATTTTCTGATATCAGGCCTTTTTTGCATATCATTATTTGCCTGATGTTTGTTTCACTGATGACAAAAAGTGCATGGGCAGACATGCTTTTGTTTCTGTTATTGCGGGTACAGGCTATGTGAGGACCTGCAGTCGTGTCTGTTTGAAGCCTCCTCTCTTCGCCCCACTCAAAATAATTGAAATGTGAAGGTCACATATAAAGGCTTGTCATCAATGTCTAGCGTCTGATTTGCAAATGAAGCAACCCGCATGCGGCCCTGAAGTGCAAATGGCCTCTGAATGATGTCAGATCCATTATAATGGCATCTGATCTACATTAAAACCCTTATGCTGTTGTTTACACTGGCAGCGCCTCTGTCTTTGATTGACGATGACATTATTCGTGGCAGCCCATCTGCTGGATCTATACAAATTAAGAGTTTGATTAAGGGTTCTAAAACACAGAGAAACACAGTCAAACTTTTTGACCCATTGGGTATTTAATTTGAGTTCTTTGGAGAGTAGTACACTTGGAGAAGTGTTTTAATAGACCTTAGGTAGTGCCATATTTAATTTTTAACTGGAATGAAAATGAGTTTGTGATGGATAAAAGTACAGCGCGTTCAATGGATTATACTGTTGTTTAACAATGTACAGATTGTTCAGCTGACGAAACGTCTTTCCGAAAAAGCTTTCACTAGACAAAAAACTCCATAAAACAGTTTTGAAAGTTGTGAGTTGTGAAAATGACATGATCTAGGACCTTGACAGTGTGTGCCATGACTGTACAGACTGTACTTCCATCCCTCACAGCCTCAGACTGCATCCAAAATCGCATACTCTTTTTTGAGTATTGAGTATAGGTAATTATTTTGGTAATTACTAATAGTAATTACTCCACGAACGCTAAAAAGTACGCTCTGAACAGTATGAGTGTGTGTAGTATGAATGTAATTTGGACGTAGTACATTCGACATGTTGTCATTATCATGTGACCTACCAGCGTCAGTTGCGTCGCTTCACTGCCATTCACAAATCCTCTCCCGTGGCCTCATGGGAGAGTAAAGTGTCCATCGTATGCACACTTCAGAATCTCAGGTCATCCGGTACTGTTTGCCTACTTTTTTGTGAGTAGCCTACTGTGAATTCAGACATAACTCTTCTGTCACATACTGTTTTTTTTGCCTAGTGTATAGGAGGAAAGTATGCGATTTTCGGATGCAGTCTCGGTTTCATCTGCGTTAAATTCGATATGGCATCTAACCCGACCTGAGGTCTATAGCAAGATCCTTTTTTGGTTCATCTATGGAGAGATGGACTACATCATATATAACATGTCACAACATCCAGAAGACTTTTAACTGCGTCAGCTTCTACGTTTTGCAGAACTGAAAATCCAAATTTGATGATTCATAAACCGAGGATCTTCTCTATATTCAAAAGAGCAAATAAGCTTTATAGAATGACTCAAAATGGTTTTCGTTCCTGTTTTGTACTACTCCGTCTGCATGTCCAACATACCCTGGTCAAGAATCAGCTATTTTTTAAACTAATAGTCTGCTAACAGGACTTTTAGGGCTCATATGTGGATGTGAAACAGTTTTTACCTTCTTTGTGGGATGGCTTCAAATGATGGCTGTTTTGACTTAAGCTCAAATTGCTATAAAACTCCACTGAACGCTGAATAAATTAGTCATGCTTTTGTTTAAAGGCAACAAACCATGACCCTTAATCGTAGCATGGTCATCTCTAAGAAAAAATATCTTGTAAACATTAGCATGGATGTATAGGCTAACTGCAGTGTAGTACAAGTGTGTGCCACTAAGTGGAGCCTTTCCCACTTTGGAAGAACAATCTGAAATCTTTTACATGTATCTGTGGAAGTTTTTCATTGTACAAAAACCACAACCTCCACCACTTGTGTGATTAAATGTGTGTGATTAAAGTCTGTTTATGCATAGCTGGATGCTTACACTATCAAAAATTTGAGTTCAGAAAGATTGTTTTTTGAAAGTCTCCTCTGCTCACCAAATCTGCATTTATTTAATAAAAATACAATAAAAACAGTACTATTCCCAAATATTAAAATAATTGTTTTCTGTTTGAAAATATTTTTATACTGTAATTTATTCCTGTGATGCAAAGCTGAATTTTCAGCATCATTACTCCAGTCTTCAGTGTCACATGATCCTTCAGAAATCATTCTGATTTGCTGCTTTCTTAATATTATCAATGTTGAAAACAGTTGCTTAACATTTTCGCAGAAAGCATGAACATTTCTTTTCCATGTTTCTTTGGTGAATAAAAAGTTCAAAAGAAACATTTATGTAAAATGATCTCCTGTAATATTATAAATGATTTCTTTACTTTGTCAATATTGATCAATTTATTGACCCCAGACTTTTGAACTCTGTACATAACACAGATAATTTCTATTTCCTTGAAAAATCTCCTATAATTTCATAGAATTACTAAAATAAGAAACAGATCATGCACTGCATATTTAAAATGGGAAAAGATAATATAAAAACATAATTAAATACATAAACTAATAAAAACATGTATGAAAACAAACAATAATCATATTAATATTATATAGTTCAGATTTAAAGAGGGAATTAATTATATATTTAGATATATTTCTTTACTACTATTTGAATAGAGGACAAAAATATGTTTAAAGTTCTTAATGACCAAAGTTTTATGAACGTTTCTTTGTTTTGTATGAAAAGACGTAGATTTAGATTTAGAAAACCTTATTAACATTTCCCAGCATTTTTAAGGGCATTCCTGAAATGTTATGGGCAAAACTCAGCATTCATTATTACACAAACGAGCACACAAATCAGCTAATGAGGAGTTGTGCAGTGTTCTCACTTCCTCTTCTTCCTTGAAAGTACAAGCTAGAAAAATAATGACTACTAATTGCGTCCTGATAAGGGGGAGGGGGGGGAATTAACACTACTTATTCACCATCTAAAAGCAGTTCTCTCTGAATGAGATCTCTCTATGATCTTATCCACAGACAACAGCAAATGGTGGGTGAATACGGGGTAAATAGAGAGAAAGACTGACTCATTAAATATTTATAATCCTGCAGTCTCATCCATTCAGCTGTGCTAAGCACTGTCAAATACAAATGCAGCATTCACCATTCTGGGAGCAATAGCCTTCATTTCAAAAGAACGATTGTATTTTACCTCTCAATGGCTCATATGGCAACAGGAAGAGCTACCGGGGGCAGCAAACATCCGTCATAAAGAAATCACGGACTTAGCTAAATGAATTTATGACTGAAGATATGGTTTATCTCTGCATTTTTTTGTGTGGATGTTTGTTGATGTTCTTAATGTAATGTAAATGTAAATGTAATATGTTATACATGTGTGTTTGTATTATGTACGCATCTATGGTGGAAACAAATTTCCTCTCAAGGACAAATAAATCATCATCATCATCATTGCATGAATCCGGGTCATGCTGTTCTGAACTTTCCTACTCTCTCAATCACTATTTCCCCCTAAACTTTTTTTTAAACATGCGTGTGCCTATCTGACCTCTGTTATGCAACATGTTCTGTCTTGCTGAGGCACCTCATTATGCAACCAGTTCTACTGAAAGACAGGCCATGAGAAAAATCAATGTGTCTGTAATTCTCATTTTATAGCAAAGGTTCATCTGTCCTTTCTAACTTTTTCAATTTAGCATGCATATACTATTATGTTGTCATTAAAAACATTACTTGGCTTGTTTATTCGAGTAGGCCGTTAACTTAATCTGCTTCATTTATTTATCGGCACACCAGCCGTGAAATTAATTTATTAGCCTCAATGTGGAAAATCTTTCCTGTTAAGAAGACCTTTGACTTCTGTTCAGACAGATAGAAGTAAGTTTCCAAGTTTAATGATCATGCACCCAATTGGATGAAACAGAAGTAGTACAAAACAGCAATACAATAATAAAACAGACAATAAACTTTTTGAACAAGGTAATTAAACATACTTGATAATGCACAAAATGTACAGAGAGTTTACTCTTAACATAAACAAATACTTAAACAGTAACACACAACAGTGTAATGAGTAATGACTCTATACAGTCTCTATGCGGATCTAGATTATTTATTCAAAAAAGATAAACTTCTGCTCAGCTAAAGGGTAAAAAAAAGAGTACATTTATTAATTTACTGTATACTGCATCGTCAACATATCAGCTTCAGCTTGTGTCGATGAACTCTAACCAACAAGGGTCAGTGAGTTAGACTCCCCTATCATAGGTCAGTCACTTCTTCCACCAATCATATGCGTTCAGAAAACGCAAAGAGGAGGGGACAAGTTGTCCATGTCAAGCGAGCCCTCCCTCATTTTTATTTCCTATAACAAAGTCACCTTCTCAACGTTATTTTAACCTGTAAATCTTTTTTGTTTGTGTTTGAACAAGTACACATAATTGAGAGACGTGATAGTTTTAACCCTGACACCTCGATAAAGTTATTTTAAGAAATGGTCTACAGTCAACAGTGTCGCATTACCCGGGCTTTCAGATCCGCGTGCATGTAACGACAAATATAACATGGGCACGTCAGCGCGGGATTAAAGTTTCTCGGTACAGCCGTACAAAATGATGGATTTTTATCTTTAAACTCAGGTAACTGTTACTTTATCATGTTCGAATTACTTTATAATTACTGGACTCGACACCGAATGCACGCTATACATTTCGTTTTACGCAATACTTGCACGTTTTCGCGCAGTAAACAGAGCGTCTCAAAACCTCACTTGGCTCCCTATCTAGATAGCTGCTAGCATTTTAGGCGCGTGGTTAGAACGTAACAATGTTGTCTGTATGTAACGTTACTGTGTTTGAGCAACACCCTCGGATACCGGTTGTTGTTGTCGCTGACAGTAACCGGTTGCAGCCGGTTCAGACCGTGTGATTTTGCTTCCTCTTCCAAAGCAAGCAGTAACGTAGAGTTTCATCGCATGTGTTTAAACCGGTTGTTCAACTCTCCTAAGACCTTTTTTTACATTCAAGAATCTAACAATTTTCTAATATTGTGATTAGGGGCAGGTATATATATTTCCGTTGATGTTTAAGGCGTGATTTAATCTTCAATATAATTCAAATACATGTATAATGTAATGGGATCTTAAAGAACCAGGAGCAGATTGTGCACTGCAGTTCTGCAGGCAGGTATTACAACACAGAGGAAATCCAGATCAACTGATGCTGTTAACATGGCTTAGATTTGTTTTTCATTTGGACACGTGTTTCTTTCCCTCTGTGTTTTAGGTCTCTTCATTCTCATCTCCGTTTGCCTGTGTGTCAGTCATGGACAGCACTAGTGTGACTCTGACTGTGAGAGGGACCACAGCACGACTAGGTAAGAGAAATAATTCAATAAAAGAGTATAACACAGTGTACAACTTTGGTTACACTTTATTTTTTAGGTGTCTGTTACAGTTACATGGTTTAGGGTTACTTTAATGTAGTTATGCACAATTTATAGTAATTACTATAGTAACTACGTGTAACAAGGACACTGTAAAATAAAGTGTTATCACAACTTTTAATAAAAAGTAAAAGTAACAATAATTATATTGTCAATCAGAAGTTCAACTGTGGAATAAGGTTTCCCTTTGGCCACTTACATGATATGATCAAGTTTAAAGCTGCACTGTAATCTCTAAACAATCAATGTGGTCTAATTAAAATTCTGTACGTTTGACTTTGGAATCGTTTGGAGTTTGTTCAATTGCTGAACACGAGTCTAATATCCTGTCTAAAGCAAATGTGATAATGTTTTGTTTTGCTGTTTGAATAATTTTGAGATAATTTAGATTAAAGGCAAACATAAGTTACAACATGATACTTTAATCATAGATCTTTGAGTTTGAACTTGATGACACAAGTATTTCCACAAAGGAAGACATGCTATCCCTAGTACGTAGATCATTGTACATAGTCTCTTACTTAAGATTTTAATCCAACCAGTTTTACAGTGTTTTCTGGTTCTAACTGTAAAGCATTAAATCATGTAATAATGAAATGTATAATATTTTACATTTACTGTGTTCATTTTCATTTATCCAAAATGACTTGCAAATGAGAAGTACAACAAGCTGGCCATTTTAATGTTTAATTTTTTTTATAATATGTTATTATAAAGTATTTATAAAGCATTACCAATTAAAATGTAATTATATGTGAGAATAATAAAGTAATGTTTAGTTAATATTAAGTGGTCTTCAGTCAATATTAACTTCGAGATAGGTTAGTAATCTTTTTACTACATTCACATTAGTGCATCATGTAGTCATTTGGTATAATAGTAATACAGAGAGATGTTTTGTTAATCATAAGTGTGTTGTTATTAAGTTAATATTGACCACGGCCACATGTATTTGTATTTATTTATTGTCTTTGTTGTGAACTTTTGCAAGTGTTGACATATGATACTTAAAGACAGGGTAGGCGATTTGTTCCAGAAATATTTTTTTTAAATGCTGGTTGAAAGTCTCTTCTATTCTTATATATCGTCTGTGGAAGGCATAGGACCATAAAATATTCATCCAATTGCATTCGGTCCTACATGCCTGTCAACATGTATTTTCATGCCCCCGCACACCTGCTCACACAGACATCACACGTCATTAGCGCGTTTTTGTCTTTTTTCTGTATCAGGTGAGGTGATAGCAGTGGTTGGCAGTTGTGAAACACTGGGCGGCTGGTTTCATCAAAAAGCCGTGACCCTACAGCCGGCGGAGGAGGATGGGTACATGTGCAATGCCATCTTATGTTTGCCTTTCAGCACAATCACGGTTACCCTTGACATACATATTTATGTTCTGTGTTTTGCTTGCTTGTCTCGTCTCCCCCAGCACCCTGTGGAGAACTACCATTCAGGTTCCTAGAGGGCGTGAAACCAAATATCGCTATTTCAAGGGGTTCTTTTTTGAATCTAAGGTGAGATCTTCTTTTTGCAGTAAACAAACATGATATAAGGCATAAGTAATCTTTAAAGACCCAATGGTGAATTGATTTCCCAACACCTTTAAAGAGCAGTCTCAGTTTTATGTATTTATAGATGTTGTTTATAACATCTTTTTTTATCTTTCTTGAAGACTCATCATAATCTGATATTCAAAACTGTTTTATTATGCATGTATGACTGCAGATTCTCTTTAGAGAGTTCTTACGCATGTGGAATAAGGGCTTTCTTTTATTCATCATTAATTCTTAGGGTACTTTAAGAGTTTACATAGTTTTAAGAGTTTTAAATTCTTCTGTGTGTGTGTGTGGGGGGGGTTTCCAGGTTTTTCTCATCACAGCTGTTAATCTCTTTTAGCTGACCTTGACTCAGTTCTTGGTAGTTTAGGTTTTGTTTTTTCCTGGAGAATGAAGTTTCTGGAACAGTGGCTGCAGGTTTCCTGCAAGCTCCTCCTAACATGCTGTGTCTCTCATACATAATATTTACACATCAACTATCTCTCTGCCAGAAATATTATTTTAAAATTTAGAAGCAGAATTAACAAGAACAAGATTGAAGAATTTAGAACCATTTTCTCATAGTTAAGCGTATCAGCAAACTATTAGAGGAAAACTAATCTTAAATAACATTTTAAGCTAAATGCTAAGTACAGGGATTTTCAAAGCATTTTTTAACATATAAATAACCTGGAGATCTCTAGTTAAACACTGAAAAATGCCAATTTGTTTCTTTTGACTAATTGGTCCACTTTTCAGATGTCAACCAACAGGCTGGCTGGCAAGAAAGTGGTGAATATGCCTCATGTTCTTTTTTCAGGAGTGAAACTTTGGTTTGAATGGCCAAAGTGGGCTTTGTTTTTCCGAAATCTGTCCATAATCTTAACCCCCATTTGGAATTACAGAACGATGGTGGTCCATGTCAAGTCATAGTCAATAGATGGGAGACCCATCAGATGCCACGCTCATTGAGTCCCTCAGGTATCTGATCCCAGAATAGTGCACGTGTCTAATGAACCCCTAGACTCCATCCTTCATGCTTACCACACTCAGATCAGTTTGTCCCCTTTAACTCTAAGCGTACATTATCAATACATGTTGACTTCAACTTTTTAAAGACAACAAGAAAAATTCCCAACACATTTCACATTTGTAATATGATGTATTTCCAAGTAAATGAATCTAGTGGGAAGTAATGTGATTTGGGACTTGTATCTCTCAGAACATTACTGGAACTTAAAGTGGTCTGATTGTTGTTAGTTAAAATATTTTTTCCCTGCCTGCATTATTTTCTTTAGACAATGCATCATTGAATCATGCACAATAAAACCAGCGACATTTATTTAGAAAGTAAATGACCCTTTAATACCATGCCCAGCAAGCAATAGCCGTCATTTCACCGTCTAGGTTAACTATAGACCCGATGTAGTCCAGCTAGGAGTAACCCACTTCTTGCTGAGTGGTCTTGTTGTGCTTGAATCATGCATGTTCTAAAGAAAATAATGATTTTTTAATTTTATTTCATGTTGTCTTTAATGTTGATTTCAGTGTTATTTGTTATGGACAGATGTAATGTCAATAAAAGCCACTTAAGGGAACCTAATGGATCAATTATTAGCAACCATAATAGTGGGCTATTACCCATCTTAGACAAACAGAGCAAAGCTGTTTTCGCTGGCGCATTCCTGGGTTTACTAGCAATGCTTTTTTTGCTTTTGTTGCGTCCACCTTATCTAGCCACTTTACATTTTGGGTTTTAATTCTTTGAAAAAAAAAGAAGTGTTTTTAGCAATTGCATTTATAATTTTGAGTTAGTTTTTACACTTAAAATGATTTTATTTTTTTAATACATACACACATTTAGCGTTCCTTTATTTGTGTGCACAACACACATTTAACACATGCATTTAACAAACTATTCAAAACAATACATTTTAAAGGCATCTATACTATATTTATTTTTATTTTTTGCTAGGCAGGAGCTATAATTTTAATCATGTAACTGTTTGCTCCAGATGTCAGCATTTCTTTGTGCTTGTGTTGTCACAAAAACAATTTGCTTGCATGGTAATACTTGTTAAATTATGCATTTTTTTATTATTATTTAACTTTTTATATTATTTAATTAAGATACATTTAAGCAGTTAATAATCTCTAGTGTTCTTCTTACACAATTCTAACATGCCCAGTTTTGCTTGTATATAATATAGGCTACAAGTGTGTAGAGCTCCATCTAGTACAGAGCAAACAAAAGACTTATTTTATCTTTCCATTTTGATTGTTTAAGAATTAAACCAGGAAATGAATGTCTCATGTCGGCACTAGAAAGTGTGTTGGTGTCTGTTTACTCTGTACTGGTGACTATCTTTTGTAGCATGAGTGTTTGACCTTCCATATTAATTTTTGTTCATGTCTTGCAGAACCAGAGCTCGTGATTGACGATGGACACTTTGGAGTCCATAGTAAGTTTGACAATTGAAATGACTTAAACACAAGTTTGAATGCACCCACACCTCAAATTCAAACCAAATTTTTATATCTTGTTCTAACTTGCATATAAAATTTGTTTCATGTGCAGATGGTGTTGAGTGTGTGGACTCTGGCTGGTTGACATGTCAGACAGAAATTCGCCTCAGGCTTCATTACTCCGTGAAACCTCCAGTTTCTATTACTAAGAATAAATTTAAGAACTCACGCTTCAGGTAACATCCTTCACAAAAGACAGAACGCATATTTAACCCTACAAATTAGCTCAGGAACATTTTAAGCCTTGTTCAGACTGTCAGTCCAAATCCGATTTTTGTGCACATCTGATTGGACTCCGATCCTATTTAGCATGTGTGAACGGCAATTTTTTTTTTACAAATCACATACATTCAAATGTGGTTTGAAATTCTATTCAAATCTTAATTTCTGGAAATCCGTTCAGTCTGAACCGATTTCGCATTGCTTTTTTTTTACTTGTATGTCACTTTCTCATGCCACGACTGCAACGTTGTTGCAGAAAACATTGCGTTGTGTTGTTGTTAATGCGCAGGTCATGCAGAAAATTATATTACAAAGGAGGCATCTCTGCGGTCCAGTGATGAGGTGTCTTCACTTTCACTGTGCGGCAGAGACGGCAGCATGGAAGTAAGCTGCTCATGCCAGCCTCCGTTTCTGTCGCTGATTCATAAGTAGTCCAGCGCTGCTGCTACACATTGTTGTGTTCTTCTAAGACAACATTGCAAACTCCTCCATGTCGTTTTTGCTATACCAACGCAACATCATTGCCATGGAAAGAAAATGCAGATATTACGGAAATAGTCTAATTTATTTACAAAGGTCTTATTTATAAAGTCTGTTAGAATCACATGAGAAACAATTGACTATAGTGAAATAGATTTCTTTTTATATCAGATAATTAATGTAGGGATGCACAATATTGCAAGCATGTAGTAGAGCTTATTTTTACAATTCAAACAGTATAATTTCTTCTAGAACAAGTACTAAACATTTATTTGTCTTTTTGACTTCACATTATACTGTTTTGATGCATGATTTCACTTTTCGAAAATATAATTTACCCAATTAATGGCTGTTTTAGATTGAAGCTGATGCTGGAAGGTATTGAGGAAGAAGAAGAGGAAAGTCCTTCAACATGGCATGAGATGATCACCACACTGGAGACCAGTATGATCAGTGACGTCGAATGTAAGTCTCGTCATTCCCAGCCAGAATGTGGATACTCCCTGGTACCCTCCAAGTGGACAGAATACAGCATTCACACCATGGACCCCGACAACCTAGAGCTCACCTTTGAGTTTTTTGAGGTGCGTGAACGATGGTCTTTGGTGTTGCTTCATAAAGATTATGACCACAACTATATCAGAAAGCATTTTTATGCTTTTTTTAATTGATTGACATAAATTCTGCATGGATCCTCTTAGTGAATCATGACTATTCTGTCCTGTCTTTGTGGTTTAGGAGGACTTGAGTGAGGCTGTGGTTCAGGGCGATTCCCATCCAGGCTACGTGGGCACCTCATGCCTCTTGTCGTCCTCTTTTGTGGAGAGCGGCAAAGATTTGGGTGTGGTTACCCTGCCCATCATGAGCCGAAACGGCAGACAGACTATTGGAAAAGTCAGAGGTATAATCTGTACCACAATGCACTGGTGTTATTTTGTCTGGTCTCATTTGTTTTACACCATAAAACTAATGTACATTCCTGTTGCCCATGATGTGACCTGTTCTTTCGCTACTTGCACACAACATTTGCCTCTGTAAACATTTCACAGACAGTAAATATAGTCATGTTGGCAAGATCCGCCCTGCTTGAATTGTTGCTTAGTAGCTAGATAATGTGATTATATACCAGTCATTTATTGATGTGCTAAAGTTTAACCATTAAGTGTTGACTTTACTGAAGTGAACACATTAAGTAAAGTAAATGCTTTTGTTCTTGATGCAATGTTAGTGGATTACCTGGTGACGCGTCCTATCCAAGGCTTTCAGTGTGACATGAGTCAGTCTTTTGCCAAATACTGGAAGAAAAGGAGCGCTTTGGATGTTGGACACAGAGGAGCAGGGAGCACACATGCTGCCAAGTGAGTAGCAAAAGTGTGGTTGTTGTGCTACAAGAGTCCTGAGCCTGTCCACTTGGATTTAGTGTTTGTCCTTATTGGTAGGCCCACGAGGCGTCAGGAAACCATAATAAGCACACATGACATGACTTTGCTGCATAAACAAACCATGAAAAAGTACATTTTTAACAGAGAGAATTATGTTGCTCTTGTATTTCAGGCATCACAAGATCAGAGAAAACACAATCGTCTCATTTCTAAGTGCAGCCAACCATGTGAGTGTAAATAAAGACTGCAACTGTACCAAAATGCATAAAGTTTTGTTAAATGATATGAAAGGCTAAAGCATATCTGTTTTGTTTTCATCACAGGGAGCAGCTTATGTAGAGTTTGATGTTCATCTGTCTAAAGATTTAGTTCCTATCGTGTACCACGACCTCACCTGCTGTATTTCTACTAAAAAGGTAACAATGGCATTTGACTCACTTGGTGCAGTGAGAAATGACTTATATAATTTGAACGACTCCCATTGTGTCCTTCGGTACAGCTTTTGATTTAACTCTGACTGAAGACTTCCTACTTAAAAATTTTAACAGTCGTAAACACTGATTTAAATTGCAAAACATAAGAAAGAAAGATCTCTTCTTCAACTTTTTACATTTTTTTGTGTCTTTTTATAGAAAAATGACAAGAATTCATTGTTGTTGTTCGAAGTTCCCGTCAAGGATCTTACGTTTGATCAACTTCAGCTTTTAAAAGTAAGACTTATTTCAGATTCTTTTAACTTTTAACATTGTTTGTACAATAAAATGCAATTATCTCCATGCTGATATTGATGAGTATGAATGTGTTTGTCTTTTTAAGGTGGCCCATACAACTGACATGGAAGTTTATGACGACAAAGGTACAATTGCCCCATTAATTCATGTCACAAAAGTGCAATATGATCAGTTATCATATTTAACGATAACTGATTATTATATAACAGTCAGGTACCAGAAGTAAAAATCTAATTCAAAATCTCCATAGTGAAAGACTTTTAGCGATAACATATAAATCTTTCAAGACAGATCTATCATGAACTCTAAGATTGTTAAACAATGTTTTATCCCTATTTCACTTCTCATTAGTTCATATAGGATGTGGTAGCCCATAAAAGAGAAGTGTTTTCAAAAAAAAAAAAATCTGGCTGATTTATTGCATCATTTGCAATACATAGGATAGTTCATTAATAAGCACACAGTATTGTACTTTAACCCCTTAAGTGTCACGGGCCCACCGGTGGGCCCAAATCCATTACATTTTTAAAACAGTAATATCATATAATAAACCTAAACTAATGTTGACAAACTATATATCATTTGAAAGCTTACAATCTCTAGTTTCCATATTTAGTGATTGATTTTCAAAATAAATTACAGAGGAGCCGTAATTTATCAATTTGCAACAAGAATATTTTCATACTCCTAAAGCGTGTTTAGACCTTTATTTTGAAATAGTGATGAACATGAAAAATCATGAAAGAAGGGTAGAAACCTCAGTTTGTTTTCATGCCAAGAGTTCAAAAGATAGCATCCATTCAATTATTTTAGAAAACAAGGTCTGAATATTTTTTAAATATAAAGAAAAAAATGATAGATTCACCATTTGTGATGTGGCAGGAAGCTATAACGCACATACTTGTTCTTTTTATGTGTTTCTTAGAGGTTGAATTCATATCAAAATCTGCCAAACTTCTCATATTACTTCTGAACAGGATGTCTACTTCATAAATTGTATGAAAATTGTGGAAATAATGGTTCAGATTACTCAAAACACATTTGGAAATGGAGGCGCCCTTATATGGGCAGTAATGGAGTCTGGTTGTCATCTAGTGAAAAGGTTTGGTACTGCGCCCAAACAAAATCTTACTGAAAGCTCATTTTTTGAGATATCAACCTAAAATTTGAAACACAACTTGTTCAGATTTTTGGCTTTGATTTTTTTGCAGTTTTAAAGTCGCCCAGGTTTTGAAAATATATATTTTATATAAAATATGAATAATTAAATTTTTTACATTATACATTTTCATAAACTCAAACTTCTATAACTTTCTTTCTGTTTCACTTTCTTAATTTATTTCACTTCTACAAAAATCTGCCAAATGTCTTCTTTAAAACGAGACCAATCTTACGTCTATATTCCAAAGCATTCTTGAATTACAACCATTTAAGTTCGAAATGTGCATTTTCATGTATATTCAAAAAAAGGGGGGTGACACTTAAAGGGTTAAGAAAAAAGTTCAAATACTTAGTTTGCTGTAAATCAGTGTTTTATTTTTCAATATTTTTAATGCTAATAGCTTAAAAAAATACTTGCCAAACACAGGCCTCTGTTTAGCTGTATTGAGCTAAATAAACAGTTAACTGTTGAATAGATAAAAATGATTGCTTTTGTGTTCTTTTGTCTAGACTTGCAAGATGAAGAGGAGTATATATATGAGCACCAGCCTTTCCCTTCCCTTTCACAGGTGTGACAGCTTGATCTTTTCTCTTATGTAAATGTGTGTGTTTTTATTGCAAATGATGGTCAGTAATAAAAAAAAGTTGCTATAAACAAACAACCAAAAACAAACAGAAAAAATATATAAACCAGAATTATTAAAAAAAATATAAAAAATACATATATATGAAATTAAATTACCTCAAGATTTATATATATATATATATATATATAATATTATTATTATATTTATATATATATATATATATATATATATATATATTTTTTTTTTTTTTTTGAGGAACTTTTACTACTGACCAAAATATTTTAGAACATTGTGATAAATGTTTGTTTATATTGCCCACCCGTACTGCTTGGTTAACTTCTCTTCTCATTTGACATCATGTTCCAGATATTCCATTCTGTTCCAGAACATGTGGGATTCAACATTGAGCTGAAGTGGATCTCTCAGTTTAAGGTTTGTGTTGCCTCAAGCGATGTGTGATTGTTTGATCTCTGTGTTAACGGAGAAAGAAAACACCCTCATCATGTCTGTTCCTCCAAACAGGATGGCTCCTGGGATGCAAAACTCTCCACCTACTTCAACATGAATCAGTTCTTGGACATCATTCTCACATGCGTGCTGGAGAACGCCGGCAAAAGGAGGATAGTCTTCTCATGTTTTGATCCTGATGTTTGCACAATGTAAGCGGCCTAGTTCATGTGCATATTTTGATGATGATGCACTGATTAGGAAAATATATATTTTTACTGAAACATTTACAGTCTCATTTGTTAACATTAGTTAATGCATTGATAAATATAAACTAACAAGGAGAAACAGCATTTTACAGCATTTATTAACCTTTTTAATATTAGTTAATAAAAATGTTCATATTCATGTTAGTTTACACTGCATTAACTAATGTTACCAGATACCATGGTTGATCTTATTTTTTTTTTAGTAAATACTGAGATTAACATGAACTAAGATTAGAAGTATTATTCATTGTTAGTTCATGTTAACTAATGTAGTTGTCTAATCATAACAAATTAAACTTTATTTTAAAGTGTTACCATTTTTAATAGAATTAAAGGTTCCAAAATGATTTTTTCCCATAGTGATGCCATAGAAGAACCATTTTGGGTTCTTCAAAGAACCTTTCAGTGAACTTTTCTTAAAAGAACCATTTTTTTTCTTAGTGTAAAGACAAAATACCAAAAAACCCTTTTTAACTATAACGAATCTCTTGTGCAATTTAAAAGGTTCCATGGATGTTATACCATATAGAAACTTATAGAAACCAATAAAGAAACTTTATTTTTAAGACTGTAGGGCAGCCAATTTAAACACGAAATAAACCAACAATGTAAAAAAAAATTTAAAATGTATGTGCACAATAAGTTTATGGACATTTATTAAGAAAGTAAATAGTCAATCCTGATTACATGTTGTGTTTAAGTTGCAATCATTTCTGTTCTCTTCATCAGGGTGAGGAAAAAGCAGAACAAATACCCCATCCTATTTCTGACCCAAGGAGTGACAGACCTCTACCCTGAACTCATGGACATCCGCTGTCAGAGCACTAAGATCGCCATGAGCTTTGCCCAGAGCGAGAACATACTGGTGAGAGAACGCACATAGCCAGATGGTGCAATAGCACAGCTGTTGATACTTCAGAACATAGTTATGAAATAGCATGGTGAGACGCCCAGTTTGGCAGGATAATCCAAATGTATTGAACTTTGAAGTGAAAGAGATCTAATCATGTTTTTGAGTTTTGTTTAAACTGCAAGAGGAATGTGGCTATTTTGTTTTCTCTAAATTGGGGCCATGTCAAATTTCATCACAAAGACTAAACAACTTGCTGAAATAGCTTTTGTATGTGCTCACAGGGAATCAGTGCCCACGCTGATGAGCTCTTGAGGAACATGGAGTTCATCAGAGAGGCTCAGTCCAAAGGACTAGTGGTCTTCTGCTGGGGCGACTATAACAACGACCATGATAACAGGATGAAGTTGAGGGACCAGGGAATTGATGGCCTCATATATGACAGGTGGGCTATGATTTGTCTTTGGTTCCTTACATTGTAATCAAACAGCAGGGCTGAGCATATTGATGAACTATGTTTACTTGCACTAACATTTTTCCCTCTCCGGTCCAAATATGTGGCATGTCATATTGATTACATATTTACTCATGATTACTCATTCATATGTGAAAAGCAAATCAGATAGTCAGAGGTGATTTACAAATAAAAGTCATAAAGGTACAGTAGCAATAGCAGCCTGTTTAATTCTAACGGCCATTTCACACCGCAAGCATGAGCAGCGCGTTTTTTTTCGGCGTGCATGTTAACCAATGAGTGCATTCACACTGGGAGCAGGAGCGTCGCATGAGCAGCAGTGAAGTGGGGGTTTCTGTGCAGAGTCTATTTTTGCTGCGCTACTCAAGCTCAATTAAAGTGAAAGCACACTTTTGATAGATAAAATAAATATGAATTCACACAAAAAGTGCCCAAAATGCACAGAATAAGCATGTCTAGTGTATTTTAACAAGAACTGGAGTAAGCTATGTCAGAAAAAAATATTTATAGAAGATTTACCCATTTAAACTTGTTTTTAATTATTCAGTTTGGGTAAAACTATGGTGTATTATAAAAAACTAAAGTTTACTAGCCAGAAAATATGATATATAAACTTTCTTTTAGTTTATGTAATACACAGAAGGGTATATAGGCTAGCACTACCCACATCAAATCCGAGTGTGCGGGTTTTTTTTTTTATCCACAGAGTTTGCTGTCTTGTAAACACATCGAAGTATGACTGAAACGAACTTTCAAGACCATCAAGTTTATAAATGACCAACTTCTAAAAACAAATTTATAGGCTAGTTGTCTTTGTAAAGAAATGCTCACTTATATGTAGCCTTGGAGCCGCTCCTTTGAGTCTGTAAAAATGCTTCCTGTGTGAATACCATAGACAGTAAAAGAAATGGACACAGCTACCCCATAGATTTCAACGGAGAAAATTGAAGCCCCTTAGAAGCACTCACTTCCTGATGGCTGAGCGCACTGCGCAGGCTCAAACTGAGCTTAACGACGTAGATGTGACGTGAGCAACAGTTCTGACCTTCTAGTAGCTGTGCCGAGACTAATCTGAATGGAAATCTGAAACAAATCTGTTGTTGAAATATTTTGTCCCGTTGCTTTTGTGGACTCTCTTATCTATGGGCTTCTCCCTTGACTTTATGTTCTCATAGACAGTAAACGATTGCCTACGAGCTTCTCCTTCTGTCTATACGGTAATTTCTCTACTGTGCGACAGAGCGTCCCGTGGTCATGACGCAATCGTTAGCCTATTTTTTACAAAAACGGCTTCTACGGGGCCATAACGTAAGATACAAAGTAATGGAGCCTTTTATACATTGTCGTGTTTCTTTAGAAATAAATAATGGACAAATGGAGTCTTTGGACGCCTCAGATGTAAAGTTATTCACTGTCAAAGTGACGCCAAAATGAATGGGAGTCAATGGAATGCTAACAGCAGGTGATGGCTTGCTAATCAATGGCGGCACCCAAGCAAAGCTTCAGTTTCCGGCTGGTGGATTACCCCCTTGGTGAATACTCTCACACGTCTGCAGCTGCAGTGACGATGTAGTTACGCTGACGCGAAGCTCAAGCTTGCGGTGTGAAACGGCCGCAAGGGTGGAAAATTGGATTTTTGGTGCAGGAAACATAAACTAACATTTACAGCACTATGACCTAACCAGACGTGCTGCAACAAGCGGTAAATGAGAGTTTTTGTCCTAACTAGCTGTAATATTTGTAATTATATGGTGTAATATTTATTATGTTCTTATCCATGTCATTGCACGTGGAGTGCACTTGCAGAAAGACTCCGCCCACACAATCTTCTGATTGGCTGTGATTTTTGACTGATTTTGTCACATCTGGTTAGAAATGGACAGGCAAATGGCTTGTAAATGGAATCTTGCTGTGTATAGGGAAAATAATAAAATACTACAATGTAGAGACATTGTTGAAAGAGTAATCATCAACTAGATGAATAATGCATCAGCCAACAAGAGGTGATGTTGTCATAGTAAATTTGATTCCATGTTTACTCTTTCAACACCATTAATGGCCATGTCAGCTTGTATGAATTTCTGTGGAAATGACAGTGGTTTATGGCTGTTCCCTGATCGTTCAGGCGTATCAGCACATGTCTAAGTGCAACTGTGTTTTATTCTGGGTAAAGGTTAAACTAACAAACTAATCAATGATGATATATCTATATACTATGATGATATATCAATGATGATGCATCTATATATATATACACACACACACACAATTAAAAAAATTAGTTTTAAAATGTATTCTTCAAAAACAGCTAGGTTTTACAGGACACACTTCCACCAAACAATTACAGATGTTGAGGTTTTACATAACATGCTGTTCTTGCCGTTTTTTTGCAGTTTCTGACTGTTCAGCTGATATTTGTTCTGTATTTTTGTTACTTCTCCACTGCAGTAAAACCCCTAAAGAGCTGCTCAGAGAAACTAAATCTTTTTTTTTTTTTTTTTTTTTTTTTGAAATAGTTCACCCAAAAATCAAAATTCTCTCTTCGTGTACTTCCCTCTGTTCATTCCAAACCTGTATGATTTTCTTTAGTTTTAGTTTGTCATTTATTTAGTGTTCATTCTTTTTTATTACATTTAATATTTTTTGTTATGTGCACAATCTCTCTCTCTCTCTCTCTCTCTCTCTCTCTCTCTCTCTCTCTCTCTCTCTCTCTCTCTCTCTCTCTCTCTCTCTCTCTCTCTCTCTCTCTCTCTCTCTCTCTCTCTCTCTCTCTCTCTATCTCTCTCTATCTCTCTCTATCTATCTATCTATCTATCTATCTATCTATCTATCTATCTACTGGTTTTCATGTTTTATGGGGACTTCCCATAGACATTATGATTTTTATACTGTACAAACTGTATATTCTGTCCCCTACACTAACCCTGCCCCTAAACCTACCCATCACAGAAAACTTTCTGCATTTTCAAAACACTTAATTTAGTATGATTTAAAAGCTGATCTATAACCAGATATTTACATGCAGTTTTGACTCTTTCCATATCTTTCCTTTCCCTTTTTGAATATTTCTCACATCATTTTATGGTCATTTGCCTCTTTTTTTCAGAATACATGAATGCTTGGTGCCAAATCCCAATGCTTCAACTTCCTCTGATACCAGTAATGTCTTCTGTTTTCCGGTTGTGTTTGTGTTATTGGCAATTGGCTGCTGCCTGACAGATCATGCTCTCAGACTCAGACTAGCACCAAGAAAAACCGTAGTGTTTTACAGCAATGATGTGAAGCAGTCAAACTCTAGAGTTATGATTTTTGAGTGGCTTTTATTCAAATTAATTAGCACTGGGTTAAGGTTCAGCTGCCTGTTATATCATTCAGAGCATTTGAGACTTCCTCTTTATATGGGTGACCTAGTTTTCTTCCCAGAACCCATATTACACAAATTACAGTGCAGATGTGCATTTGTTTTATTTTCACTGTGGATTTCTTTTTTCAGTACTAGCCACAGTGCATGAATGGACCTCTGTGGACCTCAATGACTTAATCATTGAAGAATGAATGAATGAATAGATGGATGGCTTTTGCTCTCAAACAAGCTTGACTGAGTGTCTTGATTAAGGCATGGTAGAAAAACATAAAGAAGTCTTCCAGGAGACAACGGGAATGGGCCCACCAGTATGCATAATGTTCTTAAACACATATATCATCTAACATCATGATGGTAGAAACATCATGGTAGAAAACATAAATATACGCATATATGCCTCTCACTTATAAAATATAGAAGTTGTCCCAGTTTCCATGAAAATCACCTAAATGATATCATGTTATCCAAGTTTCTTACGTTGGTGATGGAACATTTATTGAATATCTTGTTTTTGGACTATGAAATGTGAACGTGTTTCACACAAGCAGGATTGGTTGGGTTTTTAGGCTGACTGTTGTTATTTTTATTTATTCTGAAAGAGAATGTGTTGTTTTATTTGTGGCATTTTTTGACCTTCGTGAGAGCAGACACCACATTTAAAGTCAACATGAAAAAAAAAGTATATATATATAGACACACGTATAGAGGTATATCCATTTGGCCTGAATCAATTCTGATTTGAAATCAAATTATTTTATTAAGTTGACTTGAATTTGATATGGATGAAAATGTGTCAACAATCACAGTCTGTTTAACATGTCTCACTGTCCTAGATCATAATTGTCCATGTTTTCTGAAGGTTTTTTTCCACAGAATTGTTTTGAAAGACATATTCAACTTCACAGACTGTACTTGTAACGCTCACATCTTCGTTTTCATTTGTGTCTAATTAAATATTCTGTCTACTCTAAGGTCTTCAGCAGAAACTAAAGGCATGGTGTTGTGATGATTGTGGCAAACATGTGGACATGCTTATCATATTTTTTTTTGTTGCTGTTGGTCAGAACCTTTGTATGATCCCCTCCGCTTCACCCTTAATCTTTTTTTAAAGTGTTAGTTCACCTGAAAATGAAAATTATCTCATAATTCACTCCTAGGTGATTATTACTTCTTTCAGCCGAACACAATTGCCATTATATTTGAAAATATCCTGGCTCTTCAAAGCTTTAGAATTGGAGTGAGTAGAGCCTGAGATTTTAAAGCCCAAAAAAGCGCATCCATCCATCATAAAAGCAATCCATACGACTCCAGTGGGTTAATAAAGGCTTTCTGAAGAAAAATATCCATCTTTATAAACTATTATCACCGGTAACAGCCGTACGCAAGTTGAGTTGCAGTGGAAATTTTATGATGGATGGATGCGCTTTTTGGAGCTTCAAAATCTCAGGCTCTAGTCACTCCCATTATAAAGCTGGGAAGAGCCAGGATATTTTTTAATACAACTCTGATTGTATTTGGCTGGAAGAAGAAAGTCATATACACTTCGGGTGACTTGAGGGGGGAGTATATTATGGGATAATTTTCATTTTTGGATGAACTAATCCTTTAATGAAACTTCTTCTAGCTCTTTCCTTGTTTGATGACGATCCTCCCTCAGATTGACCTACAGATAAAATAATGATTTGGTCTTTCTTTTTAATTACAGAATCTGTGAAGACAAGCTCGAGCAGTCAAACATTTTCAATGTAGAGGAACAGGTTGCTCTCAAGGACGTCATCCAAACGTGTGCCTGCTCCTCCTACAGTATTCCCTGCTCCTCCATTCCGTGCGCAGGGAAATCCCCGGAGAACAACGGGGAGTCGGACTCCGGACTCAGTTCCTCTTGAGAGCCACACACCCAGTCTGCCTTCACTCTATGTCTGTAATCTTCCCACAATGCACCAGAAATAACACACAAATGCACTCCGTCATTAAGCCAAAGTTTACTTAAGTCTGAGATGTTTTTGAGTATAATCATGTCAAAAGAATGTTGTTAAGGACAACTCTAGCTTCCACTAAGGCTGTGTGTTTGCTGTATTTAGCCAATTTGCTGTATATTTGGGTGCAAAAAACGGTGTATACAGAATGTGTATTTTGCTTTAATGCAAATATTTGTTTTATCATTCTTAATATTCTCTTATATAAGAGGATATTGATGATGCCTTCTGATTTTTTTTCTCTTCAAGTATTTATTGATTTCTCTATCTGCGGAATGAGTATTGAACATTTATGCAATTTAGTATTAGAGTTTCATGAACCACAAACAAACAGAATTCAAATTCATGAAAAACTATAAATAGCTATTTTATTTAATAGCTATTATTTAACAATATTTTCTAGCTAAAAGTGAGGCCTGTCTCTCTTAAAAAAACTTATTCTGAGGGCCTTTGTCTTTAAAATGACACTCATGAACATGTATATTTTTATTTTTATCACTACTATATCCATCCACAGATTCATTCATAAATGAAACGCTGATGGTTTCAGCAGAACAAAATGGAATCTTTTTATTCAGCTGTGCAATTCACACGAACTCTTCATTGTAACTGGGTAAATATTGGAATGAATGTGCCTCTGTAAACCTGTCTGATGTATGTGCTGCTGAGTGTCAGTGTGGCCTTGTCTCAGCATGCATTCATACTGCTTCCTCTCTACAGCACGGCAGGGAAATCATGCATGTTGGCTGTTCAACTTCACACTGGACTCCGGCAACTAGCTGTATGAATCCACACTCATTGTAGTGGATGTCATCATGCCAACGTAGACCAGAACAATGCTCTGAGAGCCAGAATAAATATATTTAATATGAATGAAATCTGTCTTTTGTTCAGGACGATCCCAATATCACCAATAATGTAAAACGTTGCATTTTGGGTAGAAAGTAGTGCACTATGGAGGATAGGAATAAAAATTGTACTCTACAACTTTAGGCTGTAAAATGGCAGACACTTCTTATAGTGCACTATACAGGGAAAAGGGACTTTGCATTGATGCAATTATGTGATATTATTGTTTTTCAAGACGACAAAACCAACAACAAATGCATGATGTGAATATTAAATAAAGACCAATCATAATTTAGTATGCCAATATCACCATGCTATGGTGTCTGTCAGTTAGATTTTGAAGTCTATATATAAAAAAAATTTGCATTAAATATTATAAATTGATCATAATTAATTAGATTAATTCATAAATGAAACAGGTTGCATTGATACACGTTTTCCCATTACAATCAGTTACACTGTGATGAAGGTGAATTTCGTGTAAGATTCATAACATATACGCCGTGTTTTGCATGTAGTTGTGTCTCTTACTAGTCTCTTACCCTCCTCGAGTCAAACGAGTGCGCGCTTGTGGGCAGCGCATGTAGCAGCGGGGGTGTTGCCATGGTTGCGAGAGAGTGACAGTCGCCTAAGCCAATCCTTTGTTTCGTCCCGGCAGGAAATAATGAGCTGTGTTTAGTGCAGATTAAACTGTCTAGAGTCACTCGATTTTTATACTCTTTTTATCAGAGTACTTACATTTTAATTATGCATTGATATATATAGAAAGTTTAAACAAATTTGGGAAAAAGTTTTTTAGACCAAAAACGACCTACCCTACCTTTAATTCGCCCCAATAGACCAATTTTCAGCCGACGTCACAGTTACGTCACGGCGCTAGCTGGTGGCAGAACAAAGGGAAAACTGGAGGCGGCAAATACAAACCAGCACAGATTCGGCTACAAAATAAGGATCTTAAATTATTCTTCTTATTATTAAATGTCATCTTGTTGTGTTGTTGGGTGCAAGAATCAATGAAAAATTAATATGCTTTATCTGCAATTTTTTATTTCTAGAAATATACGCCTCATTAAAATTGCACCGTAATGTCCCTCTTTACATTGTCGTCTTCTCGGCGCTGGCTAGGCAGAACTGCAGATCGTACCACACAAGTCTTGTACATGACCATTCAGCACATAGTTATAGGCATCTAAAGATTTACATGCCCTCCGTTTCTCTATCAGGTAGGTGTAGAAGTCAGGCCACTCAACCGGAGGTAACGTTAACGTTAATCCTGTCAGATCCTCAATGAGTGTACGGGTCGGCCAATCTGGTTCCGTCCGATTAAAATTAACTTTTGCAAATAACAATCGTGGTCCTGGACAGTGAGTGACCTTCCACATTAAGATAAAATCGGATTTTCTCCAGTCATTGTTAAAAACAAGCTAACAAAACTTGCAGACTTTACGTTAGTGAAGCGGCCAGAGGGATCGTTCTGCCACCACTTAAGCTCCGCCCACATAAAAACGTCACCATGTTTACCAACTGAAAATTGGTCTATGGAAAGCATATATACTCTGTCTGAATCGTTGCCTATCCCCTATATAGTGCACTATGTGCCATTCATTCACCATGTAGAAAATTGTAAATGTGTGAACAAGTGACCAATTTCAACCGGGGCTATTTATAGTGTGGGGACTCGGAGCGGACGCTTCAGATTCTAAAGAGCATTTGATTGGACAGAAAATCTGATGAGAAGCTGAAGTGCAGAGTGATGTCATCAAAATCATTGAAGTGAGAGACTGCATGTTTTGAACACATATCTTCTAAATGCGAATTTTGTCATTGTTTTGGAGCACACTAGCTTATAGATTATACAGTAATCCAAAAAACTCAATTTTTATGTCATGGGGACTTTAATAAAGGTCCATGATAGGAAAATCTAGAGGCAACCAGTGGCGAATTTTGGATTTTGACATTGTCACTGAACCACCAAAAAGTAGGTATTAACGATAAAACAGCAATACCTGTAAATACAAGGGTTTAAACAAAAATGCAAAAGCTTTAAATCTTTTATATTATAAGTGTTAGTAAGTTGACTTCATGTAAGGGCACTGTCTGGATGTGGCATTTAAATTAAAAAGTTCATGTTGAAATACTCTTTTATCCTCCACAGGTGAGGTGGCCTTTGATGTGTAATGTCAGCAAAGGAAAAATACCAGCAAAGCTGTTCCTATCGCCTCTAAAGGCTGTGTCTCAAACAATAGTGAGCGGCCGACATTCTTTGGTCACTTTGTAATGCCTTACTGTCATTTTCCACACATTGCTTTAAACAAGAGTTCAGAGGAATGGAAACTAACCGCCCTTTCCTGACATAATTGTATAAACAGAGGAAAAAGGTGCATGTTATGCTTTTGTTGTATTTTGTTCATTATTTGAGCTTTGACAGTGTACGCTACTATAAAGTTCTGCCTCAGCCTGTTTCTTTCTCTCTGTTTGCACACTATGCCAGGTATACTGTTAAAAGCTTGGATTTTCACAGTTTTGTGGTTATTCCTGTTATGCAGCACATATTTATGTCCCAATATGTCTTAGTATGTTGAATAAAATACTAAACTCACAGTAAAGATGGAAATTGTATTAGTTCATTTTGATTTTGTGATAAAAGAGAACTAATAGGCAGATGTAAATTAGCTATTAGCTAACTCCAGTGCAATTACTTATAATTGCGAATTGTCCCTGTAAAAATAAACAATAAAATGAAATTAAATGAAAAATAATAGGCCAACTGAGTTTCTTTCAACGTTTCAGCCCTCGACTCTAGTCTGCTGATCTACAATGCCATCTAGTGCTCAGTATGGAATGAGCATTATATTTTTCGTCATAATATTCTGCAGTGGCAGTGTAAAGAAGCTTCTTGCTGATTATTACCCTTCAATGAAGCATGTTCTCTATAAATGCAAATTGTATTTGAGCTGTGTAAACCCATAAGGCTACAAGCCATACCAAAAATTAAGCCCACAATGCATATCCTCACATACACTAACTACACTAAACCACAAATCTAATTGAAGTAAAAAATAAATTGATTAAAATGGCTACAAATTATTTCAGATATTTAGTTAAAATTGTTAGTATAACCCTAAAATTATAAAAGCGAAGGTACGATAATTGCAATATTACGTAACGCTTGTTTCTGCGTGTGTATGGGAGTTGTAGTTTATTTGCACTCGATTCTCTTTACAGGAAGTTCGTTCCAGTGCGGTCGCAGAACTCCAAATCCCACAATGCCCCTATTGAGTACGTACGCCCACGCTTAATAAACGCTATGACAGTATAATCCCCCGCTGCTTTAGTGACAGCGCGAGAGAAGCTAGCAGATAAGCGAAAATATATTCTATCGTTTATCTGTTCATTTAACCACAGAAGTAATGGACAATTCCGGGAAAGAAAAGGAGGCAATTCAGCTTATGGCTGACGCCGATAAGAAAGTGAAGTCTTCCGGCTCTTTTTTAGGAGGAATGTTTGGGTAAGCTTAAAACAGATGCTTCATTCCCTATTTATCCGATCAGTCTGCTAGTCCGTTAAAATAGCATATAGTCAGTATGATCATGTTGTCAAGCTTTGGTTTTAGGTTTACCAGTGAACACTGACTGTTTATGTCATGCAAATTAAAAATATACATGAATTTTATTGTAAAAGGGACCCTAGCTGTTACAGGCCGCTTTGCGCATCAATCGATAGAAAAAAGGCTTGTTTATTATAAAGGAGAGCTGAATTTATTTGCAATGATCATAATGACTTAATAATAAATCAAATAATAATAATAATAATTGGTGTGGGTTCATGACTGTCCCAGTAAGTGAAGTGTTTTGTGTTTGGCGCATTAGTGGCGCAGTGGCTGCGGTATTTACATTTGCTGGTTTTTATTTCACTATAATAATACAGTATCACGGTACGACCACAATGGCCAACATATTATTAGTTAATGCATTCGAGTAGGAACGTCATGACACTTTACATATATTGAATAAAAGTATATATACAGTATATGAAAAAAAAAGAATAAAAGTGGCATGACGTTCCTATATTATATATATATATATATATATATATATATATGAATGATACATTATGCAATATTTAGTTTAATTATGGCTTACAGTCAATATACAAGATATGTTTTGCTAATTAAATTTTAATAGATGTATTCAATATTTAAATTTTATTAAATCTAGTTTAAAATCTTAATTTAAAAGTAAAAATGTATTATAATTTTATTGTAATATTTTTTTTATAACCTATGGTTTTAAATTTCTCAAGAACAGCTGATGTTTTATTGATATCCCGATCATATAAGCACATATTCAGTGTTATTTATTTTAAACAAGCTCTGACCTACTACTGTGAAATGGATTTAATTCAAATAGGTTTGATTAATATTATATGAGGCATTTCAAAAACCGACCCAATTGAATATTCCCACCAGGACACAACAAGTTATCTAGGCCTTTCTGTTTATTACCAGCTATACTTTTCTGACTTAATCCAATATACAACCAAATTTTACTTGTAAATCCTGACCAACATTTATAAAGCATTTAACTTCTGTCTTGTAGATTTATCTGACATTAAGATAGCATTAAGCATTAAGCTATTAAAATGGACAAAAAGCCATAACTGAATTTTCTCACATCTTTCAGGGGAAATCAGAAAGTGGAAGAGGCTTGTGAGATGTACGCCAGAGCGGCCAACATGTTCAAAATGGCCAAAAACTGGAGTGGTATGTGCTTTTTACTGGTGCAGGAATTACATCGTTCACCTTTAACAATCATTATTGTGTTCTATAATGCTTAAAAGGTCATTATGTAACGCACATTCAAATAGTTTGAATGGTCACTAACCAACTGATATTTCTGAATGATTAGCTCATCAATGCAAGTTATTATAGTGGAATCTTGAATATTGAAACGGCTTTGTTTGTAATTTACAGGAAGTATTATATGTTTATGATATATTCATATCGCGCTGATGAAGTTTGTGTGTTTGTACCCAGCTGCAGGCAATGCTTTCTGTCAGGCAGCCAGACTTCACATGCAGCTTCAGAATAAGCACGATTCGGCCACCAGCTACGTCGATGCGGGAAATGCCTTCAAGAAGGCAGATCCACATGGTGAGGACACCCATGATAACGCCCAGTTTCATGACAATCACAGAGCTGATTTATTCTGAATGATTGTTTATGCATCTCAAGAGGAAAATACTGGACGAGACCTGACTGTTAAGATGCATCAAACAAGCCTAAATTTCTTCTTAAAGCAAATCTCAAACAAGAATCATTTCCTCCTATAATTTTTTTGGCTGAATGGATTCATTAAAGGTACACTATGTAATGGTTTTTCTGTTCAAAATGAACAAGATTTAAATAATGAGTCAATACATCATCCTTTCTATCTAAACTGGTTATATCTCTTAAGCCTAGTAGTGAATGTTTTATGAGCAGCAGGATAACTATATTGATCCACACAGTCACACAGAGCCGAAGCACAACCAAAACAATGTTCTTCCGCAAAATGCATGCGCCATGCAGTTTAGTTTTTAAACGCTAGAGATACATAGTGTACCTTTTAACTAAATTATTCTGATTTTATAAAACAATTGTTTCTGTGTGAACTGAATAGTGTTGTTTGTTTTAATATTATATACGGTTGTAGTACAGGTCCTTCTCAAAAAATTAGCATGCTTGTGATAAAGTTCATTATTTTCCATAATGTAATGATAAAAATTAAACTTTCATATATTTTAGATTCATTGCACACCAACTGAAATATTTCAGGTCTTTTATTGTTTTAATACTGATGATTTTGGCAATACAGCTCATGAAAACCCAAAATTCCTGTCTCAAAAAATTAGCATATTTCATCCGACCAATAAAAGAAGTGTTTTTAATACAAAAAAAAAAGTCAACCTTCAAATAATTATGTTCAGTTATGCACTCAATAGTCAATACTTGGTCGGGAATCCTTTTGCAGAAATGACTGCTTTAATGGAGCGTGGCATGGAGGCCATCAGCCTGTGGCACTGCTGAGGTGTTATGGAGGCCCAGGATGCTTCGATAGCGGCCTTAAGCTCATCCAGAGTGTTGGGTCTTGCGTCTCTCAACTTTCTCTTCACAATATCCCACAGATTCTCTATGGGGTTCAGGTCAGGAGAGTTGGCAGGCCAATTGAGCACAGTAATACCATGGTCAGTAAACCATTTTCCAGTGGTTTTGGCACTGTGAGCAGGTGCCAGGTCGTGCTGAAAAATGAAATCATCTCCATAAAGCTTTTCAGCAGATGGATGCATGAAGTGCTCCAAAATCTCCTGATAGCTAGCTGCATTGACCCTGCCCTTGATAAAACACAGTGCACCAACACCAGCAGCTGACATGGCACCCCAGACCATCACTGACTGTGGGTACTTGACACTGGACTTCAGGCATTTTGGCATTTCCTTCTCCCCAGTCTTCCTCCAGACTCTGGCACCTTGATTTCCGAATGACATGCAAAACTTCTCTGTAGCCCAGGTCAGGCACGTCTGCCGCTGTTTCTGGTTCAAAAGTGGCTTGACCTGGGGAATTCGGCACCTGTAGCCCATTTCCTGCACACGCCTGTGCACGGTGGCTCTGGATGTTTCTACTCCAGACTCAGTCCACTGCTTCCGCAGGTCCTCCAAGGTCTGGAATCGGTCCTTCTCCACAATCTTCCTCAGGGTCCGGTCACCTCTTCTAGTTGTGCAGCGTTTTTTGCCACACTTTTTCCTTCCCACAGACTTCCCACTGAGGTGCCTTGATACAGCACTCTGGGAACAGCCTATTTGTTCAGAAATTTCTTTCTGTGTCTTACCCTCTTGCTTGAGGGTGTCAATGATGGCCTTCTGGACAGCAGTCAGGTCGGCAGTCTTACCCATGATTGCGGTTTTGAGTAATGAAACAGGCTGGGAGTTTTTAAAAGCCTCAGGAATCTTTTGCAGGTGTTTAGAGTTAATTAGTTGATTCAGATGATTAGGTTAATAGCTCGTTTAGAGACCCTTTTCATGATATGCTAATTTTTTGAGATAGGAATTTTGGGTTTTCATGAGCTGGATGCCAAAATCATCAGTATTAAAACAATAAAAGACCTGAAATATTTCAGTTGGTGTGCAATGAATCTAAAATATATGAAAGTTTAATTTTTATCATTACATTATGGAAAATAATTAACTTTATTACAATATGCTTATTTTTTGAGAAGGACCTGTATATGGCATAAGAATGAATGTCGCATTGCACTTAAAGGGATAGTTCACCCAAAAATAAGAAGTCTGTCATCATTTACTTGCCCTCAAGCTGTTCTAAACCTGCATGAAGGTCTATCTTCTGTTCAACATAAAGGATGATATTTTGAAAAATGTTAGTAACCAAACCGTTGCTGGTCCATACTTCATAGTATAGTAGTATGACTTCCATAGTATATAGAAAAAATATTTACTATGGAAGTCAATGGGGAACAGTAACTGTTTGGTTACTTATATTCTTCAAAATAACTTCATTTGTGTTCAGCACAAGAAAGAAAATGAATACAGGTTGGGAACAACCTAAGGATGAGTAAACTTTCATTTTTAGGTGAATGATCCCTGTAATATTAGTGGGCTTTGCAGGTAGAAACAATGCCACTGACCACGAACAAATCAGAGAAAATTTGCATTTGAATACAGTTTATGAAAATGTAAGACAGTGTAGCCATGTATGTAATAGAGAATGTTTATGTTAATATGGGCTGTCATTTGATAAAGATGTTAATCAAATTAATTACATTACATTAATTATCACCAAGTAGACAAAAAGTGCCCTTAGAATTCAATACATTTTGTTTTATTTCCATATCATTGATCATAAGTCTGACTGTCTAACTCTTCCTCCTCCTTCTCTTTAATGCTTGCAATTAGAGGCTATCAAGTGCTTAAACGCATCCATTGATATTTACACAGACATGGTAAGATGTTTTTATAGCAGTCAAAAATCATAGTTTCATATAATGTTCAGTCAGGTTGTGTTCTGTTTTCATCTGGGGGCATTTTAAACTGCAATTCACCTTTTAGCTGTCCAGCAATCCACCAACTGTTACAGGAGAAACTCCCACAGAACATTTGAACAGAATAATGAGACCGTAAAGCATTCCTCTTCCTTCCAAAATCTAGGAGAAATTAACAAAGTCACTAGAGCCCCTTTCACACAGAGATTCCAGAAAACAACCCTGATAATGTGTCCCGGGATCATTTGATTTCAGTTCATTCACACTGCCAGTGATTTCCTGGAATCTATGCATGCATTCACACACATCCCGTAAAGACACGTGACGTGACATCAGGATGTGATGTGTAATATCTCCGCAGCGTCTAAAGTTTGCTTATTATCTGCGATTTCTCTCTCAAGAAACGATGTTCATGCATTTTTTTTTCTAAATGATATATCTATCTGCAGAACCACACTCTGAGGACAACAGCGTCAAGCCGCCTTTCCACTGCACACGACATTCGCATACGATTGTGGCATTTCGCCCCCTAGTGTCAGTCGCACGGAACTTTGAAATTGGTCGTGAAGCAACCGTTACCCTCGGCTATTCACAATGGTAAAATGAATGATGAATGTAATTCATGCATGAATATATCCACACAAAACAAATGACCCCCAATACATCTAAAATAAAAACAATAGATTTTACAGAGCTAATCAAAATAAATATTGATTTAATAATTATAAAATATTTTTTTCTGCCATAATTATTAATAACCGACTTTTACAGAAATAGAATTTACAGAATAACATTAAAGAGTTGAAATATTGGTAATTCTAGCCTCACGCTCATAGTTTTGATTAGAATACATCACATCCGGTCGGCCAGTCGCATACGGTCTAGCCGCAGAAGTTCAGATATTTCAACGGATCCAAAGCTCAAATCGGATACGAATTTTCCGCATACGCATATGATCGGAACTCCCCGCAGCTCCCGTACGACTCTCCATTGGAAATGAATGACTTCCGGTCCAACGGCTGTCGTTTGTCGTGTGCAGTGGAAAGGCGGCTTCAGACCTGAAGTTAGTGGTGCTGACGATCGTGTAACCCACCCCAACCACTAACTAACCCTATCCTTCACTTTAACTATAAACTCAACCTTAACGAATGCGAAGCCCGCCCAACCACTAAACCTACCTTTAAAGGGTTAGTTCACTCAAAAATGAAAATTATGTCATTAATGACTCACCCTCATGTCGTTCCAAGCCCGTAAGACCTCCGTTCATCTTCGGAACACAGTTTAAGATATTTTAGATTTAGTCCGAGAGTTTTCTGTCCCTCCATTGAAAATGTATGTACGGTATACTGTCCTTTTCCAGAAAGGAAATAAAGACATCATCAAAGTAGTCCATGTGACATCAGTGGGTTAGCTAGAATGTTTTGAAGCATCGAAAATATCTGGTGCGCCCGAGCTTCGTTTACAGTCTGAGGGAGACGCACGCTGTAAACAAAACAATCTTCGCAAACATGTCTAAGGATTTCCACACAGAGGAAGACTTGCATTTTTTTGCCCAGCCGTATTTATTTGAACCCGAATACACGGACGCACCAGATACACGTCAGCGGCGTCTTACGTCATCAGCGTCACTGCGGACTCGTGAACGCGGATCCACAACAGAACCGGAAGACAATACAATGCAGAATAAAGTCGTATTTTTTGTTATTTTTGGAACAAAATTTATTTTCGATGCTTCAAAACATTCTAGCTAACCCACTGATGTCACATGGACTACTTTGATGGTGTCTTTATTTCCTTTCTGGACAAGGACAGTATACCGTACATACATTTTCAATGGGGGGACAGAAAGGTCTTAGACTAAATCTAAAATATCTTAATATCTTAATATCTTAAATATCTTAAACTGTGTTCCGGAGATGAACGGAGGTCTTACGGGCTTGGAGCGAAATGAGGGTGAGTCATTAATGACATGATTTTCATTTTTGGGTGAACTAACCCTTTAATGACGCTATAAGCTCCACCACAACAATGGTGTGAGACTGCTGGCCTGGCGCTGTTGTCCTCAGACTGCTGGGGGTAAAAAATGGTTCTGCGGTTGGCTATTATTGTAAACTAGCGCATCGCGTACCTTTCCACTAAGCTGGCGAACGATCTCAGCTTCAGTGTCATCACTACGACACACCCCTTATGCCATTGGTCCTGCCATTTGTTCACACAGGGCACGTTCCGGGACTGATCCCAGCAATGTTACAAGGTCCCCATCCTGGTATCGATCCCGGTATCAATCCTGGGACGTGTTAGCGTTCACACTCAAAGAAGGCACTCTAGCAATTCAATGGCAATTTTCTGGGATCAACGCTCTGTGTGAAAGGGGCTTAGATGAGGCTTATCATATGTATAATCTGCAAAGCATATAGATTAGAAATAGAAAAGCTTGATGGATACTGAATTAAATATTCAATTGGATATTCTTTTTATAATGTCGTCTCTGTTCTGTCCTCAGGGAAGATTCACCATCGCAGCCAAGCATCATATCACAATCGCTGAGGTGTACGAGTCAGAGCTGGTGGACATTGAGAAGGTACAAACATGTCATTTAGCGTAACCTAAAGGTGTATCTTATTTATATAGCATATACTGAGAATGTAGAATGTTTTTTTATATTCTGTTGGACACTGAATTCTTCAAACTAAATTTAGTATAAAACACATTCTTAATTTAACAGATATTCATGAGCTGCATTTGAATGTTGATTGAAGCTTACATTTTAGCCAGTTCGATCTCTTGCCACCGTGAAGCTTTGAAGTGTAAATTAATACATTTATATGCACAATCTTAAACCGCAAACGTTTAATACGCAAACAAAGCGTTTAATAATAAATCATTAACCAACCATCATTATTAATAATAATAATAATGACTGATTATAAATGATTGTAATGTATAATTTATTATTATTAATAAAGTATTATTAATAAATAATACATAATAAATGTTTAAAAATAGCATGCAATCTCTTGAAACAGATTTTATAACCTTTAATAAAGTTGTTTTCTAATAGTGCGCTGCTCTAGTTATTTGTTGTGGATGTAAATAAACACTTGATGTTAAACAGAACAGTATTCTTTCACCGGTTAAGATGATTCTGTTTCTGGTTGTCCAAAGGCGATTGCACATTATGAACAAGCTGCTGACTATTACAAAGGAGAGGAATCAAACAGGTAAGCTTGCAAATAACCAAGGTCTCGTGTTTTCCCCATTTGTTTCTAAAGAGAGGTTTTATGATTAAGGCATTTTGATTATTAGTTTAAGATTTGATATGGTCCATTTGCTTAATTTACAGCTCTGCAAACAAGTGTCTGCTGAAGGTGGCTTCATACAGCGCTCAGTTAGAACAGTACCCCAAAGCAATAGAGATTTATGAGCAGGTATGCCATCTGTCCATCTCCTGCAGATTCCTCAAGCATTGCTTAGTCACTCACCAGCAGTTGCTAAATCAGTGTGTGTGTGTGTGTGTGTGTGTGTGTGAACAGGTTGGATCCAACACCATGGACAATCCCCTTCTGAAATACAGTGCCAAAGAATACTTCTTCAAAGCTGCTTTGTGTCACTTCATCGTGGACGAGCTAAACGCAAAGGTCAGTTCTCAGTTGAGGAGCACAGGTTGATATGGAGAGCTGATACAGATGATATTAGGGGTGGAACGGTACATGTATTCGTATTGAACCGAAACGGTACGGGCGTCACGGTTCGGTGCACAAATTTACACGGAGAATACATGGTATAAAAATAAATAAAACTCGCGTGCAAATTAATTAATGTAATGCGGAACTACTGTTAGATACGCGGGTTCTTTAGGGACACCTAATCTGTACCATCGGCTTAGCTCTGAACGCGCGTTCACTTCAAACGTTGGCTTTATACGCGCATCCTATTCGCTTTGGACTAGCATCGAAGTAGACGCGAATTTGACGCTCTATTCGCGTTTGGTGTGACCGCATAATGAACAGGCTGCGATGTCAAGATTGCAATGCTGGAGTGTGTGTGTGTGTGTGTGTGTGCGCGTGCGTGCGAGAGAGAGAGGCGGGCGCGATCGAACAGTGGAAACATAAAAAAAACATACTCCGTCATTTTGTTCATACAGATCATTAAACCTGCAAAGTGTTTACTTATATTTGTGTACACTCGCAATAAAACACAACATTGTGCTTTTGTCAAACTGTAACCTACAACTGTCACCCAACCAAAATCACACACACACTGTTTTAAAGGCACACTGTGGAATTTTTGGCCACTAGGGTGCGCTCGACCTGTAATTTTCACGTCTAGTGCCCCTAGAGGCCACAAGCGCCGCAGCATTGTCGCAAAAGTCAACAAACAGTCAACCGGTCAACCTCCCGTGTCTTTATGTGTGTGCAGACGGCATTTGATTTGTATGTTGGAGAAAGTTAATCGATTCACTACTGACCAAAATAATAATATAAATATAAGATTAATAATATAAATCCTATAAAGAAAACAAATTGAATAAAAGTAGCATACGCAGAAAACAATGTCTGATCAGGTAAGTCGCATTGACAAGGGTTGCCCAATCCTGGTCCTGCCGATCGTCTGTCCTGCACAGTTCATCTCCAACCCTAATCAAACACACCTGAAGCAAACAATTAACGTCTTCAGGATCTCTTTGCAATGGGTTGGAGATGAAATCGAGTAGTCGGGAAATCGTGTAAAAAAACTCATATAACTCAGTACATATTTCCGTTATTTGTAGTCTTCAGTTTGTTTTTCCTTTTACACAAATACAAACATATATGAGCTGAAAGGAAAAAAAAACATTTACATTTGTATACGGCAGTATGTTGTGACTTATATCAGTTTTGTTACACGAATTCGCAGTAAATATTACATTATATATACACTTTTATGCCGATGTTTATTTTAAACTCTCCCTTTTTCTTTTTTTGGTCTCCTCTGACAAAATCTTTGCTTTCTTCGCTTTCTTCCGAGTAGCTGTTGATTCAGCCATGACGACAACATACAGACGCCGGCAATCAAACGCGAGTTGAGCTCTCACGTTAGAATTTGAGGAAGTTGGGGTGGTGGGGGAAGTGACGTATGCCGTAAAGCGGTCGAATTTTGTAGTTCTTTTTGTGCTCGGGTTCCTACCCGAAACCCGAAGTTACATAGTGCTAGTAAAAGCGATACAGACACCTTCAGGCTTCGGCAGACGTGTCATTCAACCTATTGTAAGTCGATGTACCATCTCAATGGGTTTTGGTAATATATTATAAAGGTTGAAAAGTTCCACAGTGTGCCTTTAAAAGCAAAACATATTTATCCGACTCCATTTCAAAACAGTCTGTGGGTCCATCTTTTGGACATTCATCATATTGCATTGGTTTTCATTTCTCGTCCTCGGAGCACTAATCGTACACATTCTACATTGATTAAAAAAGAAAATCGAATGTGTTTTTAATGGTAGTATTATTTTATACTGAAATCAATTATTTATAATTCAGATGAGAATAATGTTACATTGTTAATTAATAATGTTAATTAAAATTAAGGAAAACAAATATATTTATCTGAAATATAGCAAATTAATTTTAAATTAATTCAGGTACAATTACCAAACATATCGCAAGGTCTTTTTGTCTTTTTATTAATTTAATTAATAAACTAATTATATAAAACTATTGTCAGTGCACTACAAATAAACTGGTTCTATGCCTTTATTAATAAAACTTATTTAAAAAATACAATGCTTTCTGCATTTTTGTTTTGCTTTTCCCTCCATTGTACCGAAATCGTACCGAACCGTGATGTCTGAACCGAGGTATGAACCGAACCGTGACTTCTGTGTACCGTTCCACCCCTAGATGATATGTAGGATTTCTTTTCTGTTGTAGCTCGCTATTGGAAAGTATGAAGAGATGTTTCCAGCCTTCTCAGATTCAAGAGAATGCAAACTTCTAAAGGTTTGTGATTTATCATTTTTAATCAGGGTGGATTAGACTAGTGGGTAAAGCAGAAAAAAATCAAGTCTGCTTGCATTGAAGGACTCTTTCAATTAAGTTTTCCATTAAAGAGCAATATTTCACAGATGTGATTTTTTTTTTTTTTTATGTACGGATTTCCATATTTTCCGACCTGAAAAGTATGAGCCATGTGAATTGCGTAAATCAGAGAAACAAATGGTTGGGGTTGGTGTGATTATTTACTAAATAACTTGCAAAATGTTGCGTTTTCTAATACATTTATTTCATGCACCATCATCGCACCGCTAACTGCGGGACACTATTAGCATGTTAGCCAGTGTTCAAAGTGCCAAATGTGAGTAAGAATCGCAGTTGGAATGGTGTTACTTGACAGTTGCCTGGTAATTTCTTTATGAATTAACACAAAGCATGGCTGTGAGAATGTGATATGGCTTAGTGCGATCATCAAATCAACGGTTGTGATATAAATATATAGTCTGACATGCTGCATGTTTCAGAGCACAGCACTGTGTTCAATTTCAGTTTCGAATCACAGTAAATGCTACTGCAAGTGCTGTGTGTTTGAGTCGATTATAATCTGCATTTGGGAACGCAACATGCACCAACCATGACCAGGTTTAGTGTTGTGTCTTTCCTCATATTTAAAATATGAACAAAAAAATATATATTTCCCTCATATTTTGATGGTTTAATAAAACTTGTAGGGTCATTAAAAACAAATATCCCCTCCAGATATCACTTTTGACCTCTAATTGTAAAATAAAAAAAACAGGAACTCATTACAGGTTAAGGCTTGCACTATTATTATTGTCGACTATCGCCCTTTTTTTTTACGTATTAGAAAATAAAGAGTTCACATTGGTTATCTTACTAACATACGGAAACGGTTATTCAAATTGGGAATAAATTATATAAAGAAAGCGAGAAAAGAACGTTCCCCATCAATCAAACATCAAGTTTTGCACCACTTTCAATAATGAATAATGATAAGAGTTTTTGTCCTTACAGAAACTTCTAGAGGCCCATGAGGAGCAAAACGCAGAGGCTTTCACAGAAGCGGTAAGAGTCCACTTAAACATCTTTCCATTTTATTCGTAAAAAATAAATTTTATTGATTTTTTTGCTATGTTAAAATACTTAATATTTTAACCAATGACAAGTCTGGGACAGGACTGTCTACTAGGTTGTCATTTTTGCAATTCATTTTGACGACGCTAATGGCACAGAAATCTCATTTTAGTTTTATTAATATTTTGAATTAGCATTTATTTTTATATTCTTAGTTTATCTAAATATTGCTATTTAGGTTTAATTTATTGTTCTAGTTAATAATTTTAGGGCTTCAACCTAAACTTATATTTCAGTTTATTGCGTTTCACATTTTACTTTAGTTTATGTTTTTCAACTAATATTTACATTTTATTTCAGAATCGTTTTAGTTATTGATAATAGAGTAGTGTTCATTCTTCCACAGTTCCTCTATATGATGATAAGAGTTTTTCTCTCCATCTCTTAGGTGAAGGAGTTTGACTCCATCTCACGCCTGGACCAGTGGCACACCACCATGCTTCTGCGGATCAAGAAGACCATTCAGGGCGACGAGGAGGGGGACCTAAAATGATCTGGACCACCCACTGCATGGCACACTCTTTCCCCACTTCCATTTCACATCAGTTTTGTGCAATGGCCAAGTCCAGGTTTCCCAAAACAGTATGTCAAAATGTATTGCTACAACATTTCTAGAGAATATACTTATAAGCCTGTACTGTTAACATTGATATCCAGTTATATAATATAGCACATATCAAAACTTAGCACAGCAGTTGAAAGATGTGCTCTGGTTTCCCTGTTGCGTTACGAGGGTATTTCTGGACACACGGAGCGAACCGGTTCATGAGATTTGAGGATAGTATATAATGGGAATTTGAGATACTCCTCTGGTTATTTCGCAACAGTCACTGAATTGTAACGTGCTAGAGCTGCATGAATTGTACAGATATAATTATTGAGTCGGTGCTGCAGGATTGTGTATTTTGATTAATGTTATTTAGACATTGACCTTTATGTTGTTTTTATTTGTGCAGTTTTTGTAGTCTGCTCACACTAGTTGGCATGCAGGCCTCAATGCAGCTGTCGTCCATGTTTCATTTTAATCAGACATTCATGCAGCACTGAGAATTTCATTTTCCCATAATCCACCATTTTGAATTGGAATTTAAATTCTTACAAAAATGTCTTAATCATGTCATACCTGATGGAATTTTTTTATTTTTTTTATCGACTCTGTACTTAAATATATATTTATTTAATTTAATTATTATCTGAAATATTATTATTATTAGTCAGAGTATTATTACTATTATAATTAGTTCAGAAATATTATAAACATTATTCTAATAATATTAGTTTAAAAAAAATCCATTTAACTATCTATTTTTACACTGTCTAAGTTAAATCAGCATCTCCATCAGCAAAGCAATTGATGCGTTTGTAAAATCCTTGTATAACCTTTATTAACATGCTCTATGTGTGTGTGTGTGTGTGTGTCGTGTTGTGAATACAAAGCTCATGTACACTCTCCACTCCTGTGGTCTTTAGCAGCGCATGTCATTCTGTGTTTCACGTGTCGTGACGTCTGTATTTTACCATATTCTAGAGTTTTTAAGAAGCCATGAAGACGTACCAAACAATGTACTTTCCCACAGAGCAACTGATGTCTTTACTGAATGTCTGTGAGAATGTACAGAAATAAAAACCAATATTGAAATGGGTACATGATTCAGTTCTATCGGTTTCTGCCTAAATAGTGGTGTTCGCCAAGCCTAGCATCATTATTACGTATTCTCAGTGTTTGACGAGTAACTCCTGCGCTGCTTGTGCTTTGTACATGATCAAATCACATGGCTAGTTAAGGAAAGTAAATATAAATATTTTTTTATATAGGCCCATATGCGGTATATATATATATATATATATATATATAAGTTTAGTTTGGGGTCGATAAGGTTTATTAATGTTTTTGAAAGAAGTTTCTTCTGCTCACCAAGGCTGCATTTATTCGATTAAAAATACAATAAAAACAAAAATATTACAATTTCAAAGAATTTTTTTCTATGTGAATCTATTTTAAAATGTAATTTATTCCTCTGATCAAAGCTGAATTTCCAGCATCATTACATGATTCAGTGTCACATGATCCTTCAGGAATTATTTTAATACACTGATTTACTGTTCAAGAAACATTTCTTCTTATTATTATTAATTTAATTGAAATACAAATATTTTAAAACATTATAAATGTCAATGTAATGCTTCCATGCTGAAGTAAGTATTAATTTCTTTTAAAAAAAAAAAATTTTACTGACCCCAAACTTTTGAACGGTAGTGTATATAAGTGTGTGTGTATTTATATTATACATATATTTTCAGTCTAAAACTGGTGCCCAGATTTTTCCTAGAAAGGACATATCAAACTAATATATTAAAATGTACATTTTTACTTATATTCACTTGTAAATGATTCACTTATTTCAACACATCAATCCAAAATGAAAACAAAAAACTTTTTAAACCTTAATAATTATATGTTTCAATGGCATGTTTTTTTTAAGGTCATCATGGGCCAACTTTAGCCTGGTTTGAGCATCTCTGCTCTAAAAGACAAAAAGGAAGCTGAATTCAATGGACACTTTATTGATTGATTTTAGGGAGTGTTATCATGGTTGCAAATCATTATACACATAATAGGATACTAAATAAAAAGCATTTGCGTCATTTGAAATGTGTATTTGTAGTGTTGAGCATAATAAATATCAGTGAAAATAATTACTGAGGAAAAAAAAGCTAATATTTGGTTTTACAGGAAACACTTAAAAAAAACAGTTGAATGACAAGATATGGAAGGGGAAATTGTATATGATGTTGTCAGAAACAAACTAGAGAAGAACTTAACATTGTGATTAAAGTACTGTACTAGTTACATTTATAGATAATTTCTCCAATCATAACACAAAAAAAGTATTTACATTGATAATTTGAAGCAATGTTTGATTCGATTTTTTTTTTTTTTTTGAGTTTTTGCAACTAAAGTTGATATAATCTACTCGGCACCCTCTTCTACTGAGACTTCTATGGTGTTTGAAGCAACTGCAGTGTGTATGCTTTCGCTGACTTCCTGTTGGATGTCTGCACAGTCCGTCTCCTCAAGCACAACAGACTGGACCGCAACACACTCTTCAACCGCAGCCGAAGCCAGAACGTTCTCGGTTTCATCGGCTCCTGATGCTGCAGCTGCCGTTGCTGGAGCCAATATGGCGTCTGAAACGTGACCGGTGACTGTGATGGGCACAGAACCGGATATCGACGGCGAGACGCTGATGGAATGTGCGATGGAAAAGGGAACGGTCACGGGCATCCCGACCGCAGAAGCACCCAGAGAGATCAGGCTGGTGCCGTCTGTGGTGACCAATGGCTGCAGTTGTGTTCCTGCGGGCACTTCGGTCTGGATGACTGTGAGGCCGCCCAGGGCGTTGTGGCTGACCAGCGCGATGGTTCCAGGTCCGGCCCAGTCTCCAGAAATGGTCACGGGTTCTCCGGACACAGTCAACACTTCTTGGGGCTTCCCTGTGTCGCTCTGATGACCCTGTGCTTCAGGAACAGAACCCGCTGCCTTGTCCTTTTTCTGAGAAGAGCCCTTGGGTTTCTTGGCTCTGTCTTCAACATTTCCCTCCAAAACAACCAGGAAGTTCTTCCATGGAGTTTGTTTGTCATGAGTCTGCATATGGAAAAAGTTTGATAATATTATGTCCAAATTCAATGCACTATGCACTAAATCCCTACTAACTTAACTTGCATATGCATATAACTTAACCAGCATTATTGGAATCTAATTAATGTGATGAGAGTTTGATGATTATAAATAGCCAAAAAAAAGTGTAATTGGTGTGTGTTCTGAGTAACTGTAACTGCTAACAGATGTTCTAGAGTGGAATAAAAGTTCTAATGTGTTCATGGACACATTTAGGCATGAATTACACTAGCGTTTGAAAGTTTGGAGTCGGTAAGATTTTTTAAAAATCTGGAAGTTCACGACCAAATTTACTTTAGCATTGTGACGTATTTCCGGAATGATACTGAATATCGAATGGGAAAAATAAAAGGCGGGAATTTTTCCAAACTGACATCATCAGAGAAGGAAGGCCATTCCAGAGGGAAAGTATATTTTCAGATTTTGATTAAATATTTTTTAAGCATGAATTTGCACAGATGAATTGTTAACCTAGTATTGAGACTAGTAATGTGCGCTAACAAAGTAAATAGTGTCAATTTTGATTTCATGCCAACTTTAATATTTTTGAAAGAAGTATTTAGGCTGCATTTACTTGCTGTAAAAAATGCTGTAAAAACAGTAATATTATTACAATTTTAAAAAAAGTTTTCAATTTTTATATACATTTCGAAATGTAATTATTCAGCATCATTACTCCAGTCTTCAGTGTCACATGATGCTTCAGAAATCATTCTAATATGCTGATTTGTTGCTCAAGAAAATATTATTGTGGAAACTGCTACATTTTTTCTGGATGTTTTGATGAATGTAAAGTTCAAAAGAACAACATTTATTTAAATCTTTTGTAACAAGGATTTACTGTCACATCTGATCAACTTAATGCATTCTTGCTGAATAAAAGTCATTTCTTTCAAAAGTTAGGAAACATCAGTAACAGGTTTAGTAGGCATACTGGCACCTATAAAAACACTTACAGCCCTCTCCGCACTTTTTCCACCATTTATAGTAAAATACATCATGATTTAATGTTGTAATGCGATGAACTAAAAGCCCATGGGCATGAATATTTTTTTATAGGCGCTATAAACCCACTTATAAAACCGTGCTGTGTAAAATGGCAGGTTCTTTACCATAGTGTGTCGGCGTACGGTGGATTTGTCTGTGAACGTTCTCCCACACATGCTGCACATGTACGGCTTCTCTCCTGTGTGGATTCTCTGATGTCTCTGCAGGGCGTTGAGTTGAGTAAACTGCTTATCACAGTCCTTACAATGATACGGCCTTTCACCTGTGGAGAAAGCAGAGTCAACACAGGTAGTTCTGGTTTTAACCATCGACCCTATTGTAAAATATACACAAACCTCTGACTGTACATCAGTGTGCATTGCTTGTTGAACTATACTATACTTTGAACATGCTAATGAATTATATTACTGCACATTGGTGTCTTTCATCAAACTGCTTTTGCAACTATTTTATATTATCAATATGCTTTAGTATATGTCACATTAGAGAGCACTACTTGAGTGAAATGCACAGCAATATTAAATTCCTTGTGAGGAGTACCTGTGTGTATTTTCATATGCTGGTGGAGGGAGTTCCTCTGAGCAAACGCTCTTTTGCAGGTTTCACATTTGTAGGGTCTGAATCCTGAATGGATTCTGTTGTGATGTTTCAGGTATTCTTTGGATGCAAAGCTCTTCCCACAGTTCTCACACATGAACGGCTTTTCCCCTAGAGAAGAGGGAGTCGTTATCTTTTGCCGTCATATTATTTCTCTTTCAGTAACAAGAACCAGTTGGCTCACCTGTGTGGCATCTTCTGTGGTAAGACAGCATGTGGTTCTGGGTAAATCTGGCATCACAGAGGTCACAGGCGAAAGGTTTCTCTCCGGTGTGGATCCTGGAAAAATGCGTAAATAGTAAATGCGCAACCCAAGAAGTTCATTAGGGATGCATTACAAATCTGTGACACATTCAGTATTTGTAATATTTAGTACGTTTTTAAACAATTATGCTCCAATTTTCTTTTTCTGCACTAGTATTCTAAAATGTATTTTGATTGTTTTTTTTCACCAGGTATGAACTGTATTTTTTGTCCAAATATTGGCCATCATATTAAATATTATATGCTACATTTGATTAAATTATATATTATATTAATTATATTCAATTATACACTGCCCGGCCCCCCAAAAAAGTTGCGTTTGGATTTAAATACGCAAATACTTGAGAGCCTATGACTGGATCATTATTGCAGTGAATGATTATTATGTTTGTAGCATGTTATGTGTTTGGCAACAGTTCTTCTAACCGTAATCTATGGAGTGTGTAGCTTTTCATTTCTTAAACAACTATGTAAGAAGACACATCATGGCCATATTCCAGAATGACAATGTCAATGACAATGCATCATCCCATATGTTGCCCACTACCTTTGATGTGTCTTGAGGGCTGAGCTCTGGGAGAATCTGGATCCACACTCGTCGCACTTGAAGGGTTTGTCCCCCGAGTGTGTCCTCTCATGCAGAGTCAGGGCTGTTTTGGAGCTCAGAGATTTGCCGCAGATGTGGCAGTAGTGCCTGTCCGTGCCGCCCTCGTGCACCTGCCGCCTGTGGCGGGTCACGTCCTTCTTGCGCTTGAAGGTTTTGTTGCAGATGTCGCAGGGGAAGAGCCTCTCGTCGTTGTGCACGTGCCGCTGGTGGATTTTCAGGTTGCAGCGGTTGGCGAACGTCTGCTCGCAGATGTCACAGCGGAACGTGGTGTCCATCTGAACCCCGTGGCTGACCTTCATGTGTTTCAGGAAGCTCTTCTCGTAGTAGAAGGAGCGGCTGCATTTTTCACACCTGTATTTCGCTGCTCCTTTCTTGATCTCCTTCTCGGCTTCGTCGGCCTCGTCCATTTCCTCAATGGGCATGTAGTCTGATTCTTGCGGGTCTTCCTCAGGCACACCGTGAGGTAACTCGGACCCACTGTCATCGCAAGCGTCTTTTTTACCCAAAGCGTCCTGAGATGGTTCTGCCCCTGGGTCATGTGACGTCTGTTCTTCTTCTGCTGCCGTGTCAGAATCATCAAATGTTTCCGTTTGTATCTTTGACTTTTTCAGAGGGAAGTCCACAGAGACTCTGCGACCTGCTAACCTTCTGCTTCTCCTGCCGTGCACGTCCGGTTCCGTCTCCTTCACATTTTCAGACACTTTTACTGTCTTTTTTCTCTTTATTGCTCTTTTCACACATTCTTGTTTTGTCTTGACTTTAGTAGTATTTGAATCCACGTCATCTTTCTGCAGAGATTCAGCTGAAACGGTGCTGGGAATTTTGGCCTCACAAGCATCCACTAAGTCTGGGCACTTCAAGAGATTAGCCATTTCTAATACGGTACTGATGTAACTTTTTTTCACCTCCATTTTCCCAGAATACACATACTCCAAGAATTTTGCAAACACATTTGGTGAAATGTCACACAGAAAAATCTTTTTCACTTGGTCATTCGATAAGAGATGGGATTTGAAGTAACCACTGGATGCGGCGAGGACCACCTGATGGGCCTCAAACTCCTCCAGCTCTCCTTGAAAATCCACCTGCACTGTGATGTCACACAGGTTTCCCATGGTCCTCAGCTTCCACATGGCATTGAGCAGATTTTTATGGTGACAGCTGGATTGCAGTTGAACAAATCCATCACTCATCTTCTCTGGTTTCTGCAGCTGCCACAACATAAATAAGGTAAGTCATTAACAGACACATATCGTACATACATACATGTGTGTGTATATATATATATAAATATATAATATATATATATATATATATATATGCATTTACTGTGATACATTTTTACAAACACAGACTATTAAACACCTTATAAATCACTTTGAGTTTTTTTATTTATTAATAAAATTAATATAACCCTTGTATTTCTGTTCTAAAGCCTTTTTAGCCATGTTAAGCCGATTGTTGTACATGCTAAAACTATAGCTTTGTAGGTCATGGTAACGGCCCAAAATATATAAACCAATTTCTCTGTCTCATTTAAACTTATTTTATTCACATCATTATTTATACGTGTTCATTTATCTGCTTTGGAGCAAAACCCGTCAAGAGAAAATAAAAGGGGACGCTAAAGCAGTTAGCATCTTAGCTTTGTCTTCAGGTATTAGAAACTGAGCTAATGAAACTTAAGAGAGAAATACAGGTGATTAGATCAGATGTTTAATGTCCATCGGTGACATGCCGTGAAAGGAGGGTTTGCATCGCAGGCTGGAGATTTCTTACCGTAAGGCCAGTAAAACGGCAGCCCTGTACAAATCAAATCCACAGGCACAACAAGAGCATTTCCGGTAGAACGCGCACTCAGCGCACACTAGAGCAGAAGGCATCATGGGAAATTTAGTTTTTCTTTTAGAGATTGTCTTGATTCGTTATAGGATGTGTGGTGTATTTTAAAATGACATTCTGTCTGTAAAAACCCTCCATACAATAATAATAAAACACTTTATTTAAGTGAACAATACAAACTTAATCAAATAAAATGTAAAATTATTATAATAATGTAAAACTGCAAATACATAAGGTTTTTGTTTTTTAATTTAAAGTTTTTATTAACTTACGTTTAGATGATTAGATGATAGATGATTTTGTCTGATTTTTATTTTTTTATTATTATTACTGCAGAGCTTTTTAAAGGCTTTATGCATTATTGGAGAATAACTCCTCCAATAATGTTTTACATTTTCAGATTGTATTTTTCTACATAATTTGTACTACAGTTTTTTTTAGTTCTAAAGACATGTCAGGGGTGGAAAAATATTGCTTATGCTGTAAACACAACCACCCACCCACTCTGTGCCTGTGGCTTGACCTTTGCAAAACAAGATTGCTCTTAAAATACTAAAGGGCAACTGAGTTCATGGGTAAACTACTGTGACCACCCTGTTACTTCTTGCCTGTGAGTGCATACAAGAAGGTCTGCAATTTGCAATCTACATGCATTTTGGGGGGGAAATAAAGACCAGTCAGCCGTTCTTTTTCTCTGTTTCTCAGACTGTACAAGTGCAGGTCTATAGGGATTTGTGTGGCCTTCAAATACAATCCAAAACACCAGCGTCAAGACTCATGTTCACAGATGGGCAGAGATAAAAATATAGATGAAGCCTAACAAGCTTCGTTTTAGGTTTTATTACAGAGCTACTGGCAGTAAGCCTCTGCCAGTAAAGGAATGAGCTCAGAATTGAATCACACAAAATTGCATCGCACTACGTTTTAAACACATTATTCTCTGATGTTATTTAAAGCCTGTCATTTAAAATAAAAATAAAAAATAGCCTAGTCCCAGACTAAAATGCACGTTTGAGCTGTTTTAACTGAAAGCAACTTGCACTGATACAGCATATCTTACAATAAGTCTGTGTCATTGTTTTGTCTCAAGATGCACACCAGTAATGTTTTCTTTTCTTTTTCTAAAGCACGTTGATAAAAGCTGTCCTAATTTAACTAAGGCCTACTCCTGGCTTAAGCTATGTCTTTGAAACTAGGCCTAGGAATAGCAATAGTATTTATGCAATATTCCATGTATAAACTATGTACAATATGTGAATAATGTATCCCACTCTCACAATGCAAGGGACTTAAAAACATAGAATCCCATATAGAAGAACATTTTATAATCGTAAGAAACTTTTTCCAGTATAAAAAACATTTTGTGCAGTGGAAATGAGCCGTTGAGCTCGGTAAAGCTTCAGTTTCCTCCTAATCTCTAACCGTTTCTCCTCTTAATCTCCTCCATATCACTTTAAATTTAAATGAACGGATTCATTTTGTGGTCCGTGCCGATTCATGCATGTGATCCGCTCTGTGTATCGTGTCTCTGGACCGAAGCAGATGGTGTGTGTGCACTGCGGTGGTTTGCTTGACTCTACCTTGAAACCAGACTTCATTTGCCCCAATTTACACTGTCTGAATCGTTCCCTATCCCCTATAGTGCACTATGAGCCATTCACCACATAGAAAATAGTATATGTGTGAACAAGTGACCGATTTTAGCTGCAGAGTATTATAGAGTAGGGGCGGAGCTTCAGATTCTAGAGAGCATTTGATTAGACAGAAAATCTGATGAGAAGCTGAAGTGCAGAGTGATGTCATCAAAATCATTGATCCATATTGGCGGAAGTGAGAGACTGTAAGTTTTAAATGCTTATATCTTCTAAATGTGAATTTTGTCATTGTTTTGGAGCACACTATATCATAGATAACATTAAGACTAACATGTTCATATTAAAAGCCAAAAAACTTCAACTTTTATTTCATGGGGACTTTAAATTTAAATGAATATAAATAACATTCATAAAACCTGCAGAAACCTACTAGCTCATGCCCACCAGATGGCGCTGTTGCAAACAGATTAGTTGATAATGGAAACCTGGACCTGAGTTTGGTATGCATGTCCGTGCTCTGCACAGTTACATTTGATCCCCTGCATTAATTTGATCTGGACAAAACCTACCGCTAGACACTGAAAACTAAACAGAGACATGGAAATACAGTGCAGTAATGTGGAACCCCTCCTTACTAGTAAGGACATGTCAAGTTTAAACTGACTAAAAGTGACAGGCATTTCTAAAGCTTCCACTGCCAAGATGTTTTCCCCTCAACGGCGGTCCCATTTCACGCACAACGTGAGGTTTAATATAAAATGCCCCGTCTTTGTTATTAATGATCTGTTGATAGAAAACTGGACTCTTTATTTATTCATTCGAGTCATGATCTATCATGCTAATCAGATGCAAGTTTAGGCATTTTCTGTGTGTTAGTCCTCCAGGATTCACCAGGGGGTTTGCGTGGTCTGCCAAAGCACTCTTTATTGACATAGGAAATCCATATGCCTTGCATTTCCCTTAATGAGTTCTGCAAGTGCGCGGCTCCTTCCGGTGACTCATGCTGCACTTGTGTGGACCGGAGACTGTGGTTTTCCATTTACCTCTGGAGCTCCGCCACGGCGTCTGTGCTGCTGTAACCCGGCACGCTTTCAAATCCAGAAAGCTACAGAAAGCCTCCCTCCCTCTCCCCCGGCTCAAAACAATGGAGCCACATCTGCCTCAGTGCATTATGGTACATGTTGGTCTGGAAATCTTGTTGAGTGTCGGGGAGAAAGCAGGAAACCGTGAAAAGGAATGCTAAGGTCACACTTTCACGCTGAACTTAACGCCAATAAACCCAGAAAGCTCTTAACAAGGAAGACATCAAGAAGAAGTGGTGTAGTGAAACACTTTTTAAACGGTAACTTGCCTGACAAACACAATAATGGCATTGAGTAGTTTTCTCTCACTTTGAGGCCTGTTAATATTATAAATGAGACCGGGAATACTAGTCACAAGGACTATATCTCTCAGTAACTACTTGAGTCTTCAACACAAAAATTATAAAACCATATTTTTACCATATGTAGGCCTGTAGAGGCAAGTATTATTGTACTTTCAACTGTGTTTACATATTTTTACAATTCAACGCAAAAAAAATTATGTGATCAATAAGTTATGAAAACATGTTTTTACATTGCTTTAACTAATCAAAATAAGTTAATTTTCAACTTTTGTTATAGGTTATACAAGATTCAACTCATTCAAGTCAGTTAAAGGTGCAGTGTGTAACATTTTTGAGTATTAACAGAAATGCAATATGACATCCATAACTATGTGTTCAGTGGTGTATAAAGAACTTACTTAATAAACCGTAATGTTTTTATTACCTTAGAATGAGGCATTTATATCTATAGGCGCGGGAATCCCCTTTTTTGAAGGTCGCCATATTGTGACATCATGTTTCTACAGTAGCCGAACGCGAACACACAGCGCTACAGAGCGCGTTTCGTCACTACCTTGAAAGAGAAGCCGCAGGAAGCTAGAAGAAGCTAATCATAAACACCGTGAGTAGTGACTTTTCCCTTGTCAGTGGTGTAAATATGTAGTTGGATTGTTTCATGTAACTTAATTCTTCTCCCTCGCTGTGTTATGGTTTTGCTATGTGGGGATAAATGTGCTGGTTAAGTTCGTGAGACAGCTGATTAGTACTCTTGTCATTGACCGTAAAACAGTTACAGGAATCACCAACCCGTCGATCTTGGAAGCATTTTAAGTCGATCGAGTTTCCAAAATCAGAGAAAAAAAGCCTATTGTGTGTAGTAAGTGGTGTCTAGGGGATGCGGAGGCGCGCGCGCTGTTACAATCACGTCATTTTTGCCGCACGCACCTTTGGGCTCATGCGGACGCGTCGAGTTTAAACAAGGCTTTACGCTTTAACCAGCTCAGCCACAGTAACAGCTCATCTTAGCCAGCTAAACTTTTACTACCCTGTTAGAAAAAATATATAGTTGCATAGTTTCATGTGGTTCTTCTCCCTCGCTGTATTATGGGTTTGCTATGTGGGGAGAATGTGCTGGTTGCGTTCGTGAGACAATCAGCTGATTACTATTATTATATTATGTATTAAGACCCTTGATCCTCACCTGAAACTTTATCCATGATGTGGTTTATAATGGACTGTGGTGCAGAAACTTGGTTTACGCTAGCTATTCTCTGCTGTCTCAGACGACGATGTTTGTCCCGTTTTAGCCACTGTAGCTTCTTCGAAAGGGAGGGGTGAGCGGTGGGCTGAGCCCTTAGTGTAAACTCGCAACCGAACCGCTAGATGTCGCTAAAAATCACACACTGGACCTTTAAATGTAATTTAAGTTGAACTGACTTAAACATCCAAGTTGACTGTACTTAAAAATTAAGGCTTAAAGGGATAGTTCACCCAAAAATGAAAATTCTGTCAGTATTTACTCACCCTCATGTTGTTCCAACCCCATAAGACCTTCGTTCATCTTCGGAACACGAATTAAGATATTTTTGATAAAATCTGAGAGCTGGATCACTCCTCCATAGGCTTCTTCAGGGATTGAACTTGCCGGCCTCGAAAAGTTTTTAAAGACATCGTTAAAATAGTCCAAGTGACTACAGTGGCTCAATCGTAAGTTTATCAAACGACGAGAACACTTTTTGTGTGCAAAACAAAACAAAAATAACTACTTTTATTTCAACTATTCATTTCCTTCTCTGTGGGCCTCGAGTCAGTTCACTAGTGTAATAGCGTACGCTTCTGTTGTTGTACGTCACACGCATCACCCACATGACCAGCGTCGGCCAATAGTGAGCCTACGTGTGACGTAGCTCTACGCAATTACACTAGTTTAACTGACTAGAGGCCCAAAGAGAAGGAAATGAATAGTTGAAATAAAGTCGTTATTTATGTTTGTTTTTGCGCACAAAAAGTATTCTCGTCGCATGATATACTTTAGATTGAGCCACTGTAGTCAC